CACTCATCACTCTACTATCAATCTACATGTAGACCAATCACAAATGCTCGACCGAATTCAGAAGCGCATTCCCACAATGATATAGCCGACTTGGTCGGATAGCTCACTAGGTGAGCTGACTTGATTGTTTGTGTGACCGCGGTTCTACCGTCACTCGACACAAATCACAAGTGTGTACACGTCGAACGATTTCACAACACCGAGTGTATACACATTGTGTGGGTGAGATTTGACAATACACCAATACATCGAGGTGATAATGAGAGCTAGTCAAATGTATTATTGAACATCAAGGCAAATCAGTGGCGGATGCAGTGAGACGAGAGCACACTATGGTTCACAATACACGGATTCTATTAGTTCAGCTATGACGATGTTGAGCACGATTGATTACTTCGACAGTGAGATACTTGTGCGACCTGAACATTGTCTGTCATGAACTGGATCAGGTTTTGCTTAATTGTCCCGTTCTGTAATAATTCTGGAGGTGAGTTGGACCCTGTGACATGTGAACAGTGGACAGAAGTGTCTGTGGTTGGTGTGTTTGAACAGTGTGGTCAACTGGTTCATGTTGAGAGTGGATGATTTGCTGTAAACGGTTGACTGGTAGAGAACACACTGGTCAACAGTGTCCACGAGAGGAGGACAGTTTGACATGTTTCACATTACACGCACACACGCACTCTCTCTCTCTCTCTCACACACACACACACACAGATCGTGACTGTTCGTATGACTTGTGATTTCTCCCGTATGATGTCAGATGATTGAGACAGTGCCGGTGCTGCCCAGTCACTATTGAAACCGAGCCCGTGCAGCCAACACCATCGTCATGACAACCTCTGATAAACCACCAACACACTAGCAATAAATAGTGTCGACAATTTGAACAACACCGCACCGATCCAACGAGCTTCGCCAATTAGTAGTGACCGTGCACCGAACTAGTGTTTGTCCGGTCACCACACCATGCTAGTGTGCACGACACGCAGGCAGATGGTAGTGAGCACACACTCACACACACAGGATACTCAGGCACATGGAACACTGATTGCAGACGTGAGGTTGATGTTGTGTACTGCATTAAAATCTGTGCTCCGAGAGAGGCTCGAACTGTCGACCTCCGCATTATAAGTACGGCGCTCTAACCAACTAAGCTACCGGAGCACGTTTCGGTCGCCACAATCATCCTCCATCGAAAACGCATTACACTCAAACAAACCATAACAACATTTCACTACAGAATACTACACCTCATAACACATCTACTCCCAAATAATACTATCGAACAAACTCACCTCATACTCTTTGTCTCTTCATCTCTCTACACACGGAATATTAGCCAGATTCTCTACACAATCATCTCCCGCTTACAACTCATCAACAACACATCACGTATGTCCTCCTCTTCACTACTCTCCACAACCGATCGATTCACGCCACATATCACCAGTTCATCAACACCATCCAACTAGTCTCATACATATGAGAGTTTGTGGAAATCGTGCATCAACAACAAGTCAAAAGTCGGTGTCGTTCACAGACGAATAGTCCACCCGAACTCATTCCACAAGTGAACGGAAACAAGACACTCGTGGCTGACTTGATCAGACAGACGAACAAACGACTGTCAACTGCATGCTCATCAACTGGTCGACGAGGACTACCCATCAACCACATAGTCGCTCTACACGTTCGCAGTTGACAAGCGTGCGCACATGAGCCACAATCACTGACATCTACACGTCTCTCCACTCATCACTCTACTATCAATCTACATGTAGACCAATCACAAATGCTCGACCGAATTCAGAAGCGCATTCCCACAATGATATAGCCGACTTGGTCGGATAGCTCACTAGGTGAGCTGACTTGATTGTTTGTGTGACCGCGGTTCTACCGTCACTCGACACAAATCACAAGTGTGTACACGTCGAACGATTTCACAACACCGAGTGTATACACATTGTGTGGGTGAGATTTGACAATAAACCAATACATCGAGGTGATAATGAGAGCTAGTCAAATGTATTATTGATCATCATTCTCTGTCATTGTTTTTTGGAATGTTTTCTTTCTCACATTCCTATTTCTGTGTGATCGTAGTGTTATTTCCTAAGTTTTCTCTATTTTATCTTGGTTTTACCATTTCTTCTTTGTTTCTGTACTTCTTTTAATATCTTAGGTTTTTTAGATTAAGCGGTTTATGTTTATTCCCGTATTACTTTCTGTTGTTGTGGTGTATGGTTTTTTTCTTCTTTATTTTCTTTATTTTTTATCCTCCTGATTCGTTTACTTGTTTAGTCGTGTTATGTTTTCGTGATTTTTTGTTTTCGTGTTGTGTTACTTGTTAGTAGTGTGTATTTTTACTGGAAATATTGGTAATGTTCTCATCTTTGTTAACTTCTTTTCGGTTGTTTTTCGTATATCTGTTTTGCTACACTGTAGTAGATTGTTTTCTTTATAAAGTTCTCATGTCCTTTTATTTCCTGACTTTTTGGCGACAGCTGTTTTTCTAGTTTTTTAAATACCTTTTTATTTTGTTTCTTGCTTGTGTTTTCTTTTTCTTTAATATCAGTGAACATACATTATTTTTGTTCTGGATATTTTCCCGTTCGCAAATGATCATTTCTGCCTTATAAATGTCCTTTGGAACCATAGGAACTTATTAGATCTAGGTCTTTATTTTCTGCAATAATTTTCTTCCTAACCGCAGCGATCATTTTTGGTAGCGATATAATTTTTTTCGTAACTTTTTTCGTTGTTACTTTTTGCATCTCACGCAATGATAATAGGTTCCGAAATTCCTTAATGAAACATCTAACCCGATACTTATCCTAAATTTTATATATGTTTTCATAAGTTTGCTGAAAATAATGACTTTTTACTTATCACCAGTTGACTTATGAATTTTCTAATTTGAAGTAATGACTCCCATTAATTCAATGGCCTGTTTAAACGGCACCAGTATCTAAACGTCTTTGGTAAATTCATTAAGGCAATCATCATAGGTTAAACTACTTTTAGACGTTAAGATTCGAGATTCTTTAGAACTGGTTCTACAGTTTCTTGTTGACTAGTAAATGACCAATATCAGTCTTCTCAGCCTGTCTTGCCTATATCTATTATTGGCATTCTAAACAAATTGCTGTACCTTCATAGGTCACTGTTGGCTGAAATATACGAAATATAACTTCACACAGCAATAGAATTCTGAAGTAAGGAATATCTAGAACGTTTTTATAATCTACTGCTACTCAAATTCACTTGAATAGTCTATCTTCAATAAATGCGGTAGTATTTCGAAATAAATATGATTTAGCAACTATAGTTGTTGATCAATAGAATGTAAAGTGAAAACGACATAATGTTTCATAACCAACTATTAGCAATCTGTTCTGACAGCTTATAAGCTACATACTTACATTTAAGTCAAAACTTTTTAAATTTCACATTTAAAGTGTGGGTGAGAGGGAGAGAGAGAGGGAAAACAAAAAACTCTTGAGTATTTTACAAAGAATTTGTTTTTATAGGTAATTTCACTTCCACTTGAATTTATTTTCTGTTATGATTAATCTTTTTCTATTTCAATGAAGAAAGTCATTTTTCTAGTTTGCTATTATTTTTTTTCCTATGTATATATGTAAAAAAAACTTAATTAATTGATTCTTTATAACAGCATTTAATTTGACTATTTTCGGTAATTTGAATAATATGTCCGATCGATAAGAAAAAATTGTGATATTTCTTACTACTTGAAGAAAAAAAGAGAATTATGTCAAACTCACATTACAATTACCAACACAACTAGATTTCCATTTATTACTTAGCATATATATAACTTTCTGTGAAAATATATAAATTCATTGGACAATTTAAGGATTAAATATGATTTCCAATAAAAGGATTTCGTGATTAAATGGTAAAACTTCTAAACTTCTTCTTTCTAATGAACTTGGAATTTTATATTTTCCATACTCGTTTGTCCACACTATTACTATGATGCTTCCCATATGGTGATTGTAATTTTTATCAATATGTTAAATAAGACTCATTTCTTTTTTAAAAATTCTTTCTATTTCTGTAATTTTAGCATATTAATCTTATTTGTAAGGGTTCGGGTTATTTTGTTGTTGATATTCTTGGTTGTATTTTGGTTACTCTTAGTTGAAAAACCATCATTCTTTGTGGATCTCCTTAATACATCCATTTTATCACAAGTTTAATAGAAGAGATATACTATGGCTGACAGTTAAATCTAGCATTGCTATCCAAACCCACCTCTTTAATTTTATGTGTTAAAAGTACTTAAAATATATTTTATTGACGATAAGTTATTTCTATTTAATATTAGAGAAAATTTCTTTTTCATTAGTCTAAGTTTTTCTATTACTAATTAAATAATTGGTCAACTTAATTATATCATGCGGAATTAAATGAAAGTTAGACATATTATGAAAATTTAATTGTATTTCACTCTATTAGTTTTCACAAAAATGTTGATCTATTACATCAATATTATTATTAATGTTAGAAATATCATTCTATAGAATTTTACAATGAAAATGAATAGTTAATTTAAAATCTACAAAAAAAAACATTCAATAAATCATTTTTTTGTAAAAAAATTAGTAAGATGAAGTAAAACATTGACATAAAATTATGAACAAGGAGTGTATATCGTGTCATTGTGTGAAAGACAAAATAAAAGTTGTTTATTTCACTTACTATCAACAAAAAAGTGTTCATATTGGTTAGTTGTTTTTTTTTTGACAGAATGTTTAGTTAGAGAATTAACAAGTGTATTAGAATAACTATGTGCTGTTATGTATTGATGAGTGTGTAATTGAAGGGAATGTACGATTACAAAATACAAATGAAAAGTTAAATAATAAATCTACATCAAATGCTTTGTTGAATAATTACATTTCCGTAATACATAAAATGGGATACTTTTTAAGAAATGAAAAATGAATAAAATTGAATTGCATGATTATACATTATACACATTGGTAGTCATGAATATTATTCTCATCTGTTATTAAAACTGTGCCTGAAATGAAATGATTAGAAATTCGAAAAATTAACTTTATTTACTAACGAATAAAATAACAGTATTTTTGTGTTAATCTACTAATATTATTGAGTGAAATTATTTATCTTCTATGGGCATAATAATTCAAATATAATTTATAAAATATTTTCGATGAGCCTGATTCGAATAAAACATTTACCATATTTACCGAGAACTTTCTAGCCATAAAATGGTTACGAGATTTAGACGATTGCCTTTTAGGATGTATACACTTATAATCGCTTGTATACTTAGTAGTTATAGATTTGATTTTAAACTATTGTATACATTTTAATACAATAGAAGTAAAAGGAAGAAAGCCGGAGATGCATTAAAAGCTGTCGAATCATCTAACTGATTAATAATCAATTTTTTTGAGCAGGCAATAATTTCAAAAACACCACTCATTTTCATAGAGTAAATGGAGTCCAAAATGAAATTTTTAAATAGTATGTATCACTGATACTCTGTGATGAAGAAATGGAACGATTATTAAAGTTCTTGTACAGAAATTCTCAGATTAGCTCTTCAAATGTTGTTTGTATACGTATCATATTATTCTCTTCTACATTTCATTAGGACTAAATTTGCTTGAGTTTCTTGCTTCTGATTACTTAAGAATATTTTTCATGTATTTTGGGAATGTTAGACTGCCTGATAATATCAAAAATTTTTCCTAAACTTGGGTCTCAAGTAAACATATACAAATGTTAAATTATGTATTCGTAATTGACAAAAGTATTTCCAACAGCTTCACAAAAAATGAGAATACCAATGAATGATTTTTTGAATTAACCACTCGTACGCAATGCACAATAATATGTATTGAGGTTTTCTTGAATCTGATCACATCTTGTCAAGAAGCACCTCAAAGTAATACCATTGGCAAGTTGTAACCGCACTAAAGTTTTAGATAGTAGAAAATGTTTTAAATTTATAAAATAGTAACTGTTTCACAACTCTTATTCATTTAAAGTTATTAATTGGAATACAGTTTATAAGAATAAACTGTTGTGGAAGTTACTCTATACTATCAGGACAACATTCATCCCTATAGACCCTAAAATTATACTTGCTTATAAGTTAAATTCTCTAAACAAGTTTTGCAAAAATACCGTAGAAAGAGTTCTTGAAATAAATTGAGAGGGATTATACAAATTGAGGCAAATTATATCAGTTGTCCTAAACTGTCACGTCCTTTCAACTCATTCATAAATCGTCAATCAAAAGCAACCTACATGTTTGCAGTATTAGATGGATAACTATTGGTAGAATAAGTAAACCAGTAACCTGTTTAATACAACACTAACTGAAGACATTGATGTAAAACTAAAGCATATTTGATAGACTAGAATATTTAATGTAAAATCTGTTCCTCTGACTGCTTCAGAGCATAATAAACTTTTTTATGTTTTAATTCTTCCTCATTTGTGTAAATCGACTTCAGACAGTGTAAGACTAGTACACTAGTGAGCTAGCAAAGGTGGTAGATTTTTAAGTAGCAGAGGTATATTTAAAATAAATCAGTAATAAAATACAATAAATTAAAAGTAATAAATGTAGGCAACAAGCGAATAAGGATGTACAAGAATGGAATATTAAAGTTTGTAGGTTGTGGTAAACCACAGTAGTTTACAACATTCAATCATTAACCAAGTCTTCCACAATGCTTAGACTACTGGGAAGTAGCTGAATTATTCTAATATAATTACTTAAAATGTAGTCTAGACACAAATTTTTTATAACAATATTTAATATTTGTTTTCGATATGGTCTCATTATAGGGCTTTCTTGAGATGCACAGGTCATCATCGACTTCTAATTACAATAGATCTTGAAAGCATTTATGGTACACGTCTTAATTTACGGGCATAATCAGGTTGACACCAAAGGGCAGCTACAATTTTAAAAATAAGGGTACAATATTACTGAAATGGATGTGATTCATAAGTTATTTCAAAAGAACATTGTTATAAGCTTTTTAATAATGTGAACCATAAGATGCGTACAAAATGCATAATCATAAACGATACAAGTGTGCAGAAACAAGTCAAAAGACTTTATAACTGACAGTGTACATTTTTCTGTAACCACATGATATTATTTCTTATTTGAGAATACAGTCGTTAAAAATCGATATGTTTGAACAATTAAATATTACATGATAGGAATCAACTTACCTAATACATAACTCTGACATACCGATTGTATTTGTTTTCCCTAAAACAGTCTACCTTAATGTGATGTGTTTACTGGTAGTGTTGCCTTATCGTCCAACAATTGCGATGACTGAAGTAAATCAACATTAAACGGTAACTGATGTGTTGTTACAATATTTGGTGTGACTTCATTAAATGTTGTTGTATCCTGTAGTTGTGGTGTTACTATCAAACAATTTAACATTTCATTTTTACTATAATTAATATCAGTTGGTTTTCTATTAGAAGAACAATTTTTCACAGTATTTGAATGATTACTACAAAATAAAAGTTTATTTGAATTTAAACACGATGCAGGATCTGTTCTTGTATTATCTTCCATGGAATACAAACAATCACAAAAACTTATACAGGATTCGTTGACACTGTTTTGTTGATGATTTAACTGTTGTTGTTGTTGTCGTGGAAGTGACTGTTGTTGATGACATGAATAATGACGATCTAATTTTGATAAAGATGAAATTTTTTTAGTAGAATATAATGATTAATGCTGCTCAAATTTATGATATTTCGCTTGACGCATTAACATTACCTCAATAACCATAGAAAACCAAAAAGTAGTGAACAGCTGTGTCAACTTAGTATGGGATATATCAGCACTTTAAATTTAAGCCTTTCCTGAATTCAGACCAAAAACAACTAGGATTTACAGTGAATTCCTTAATTTTAGACTAGTGGGTCGAAGTCAACTTGGCCATATTCTCTACTCGATTAGATTAATAACAATGAGGAACCGCGAGTCGCCTAACTCTAGATAAAATCAAACTTATTTGGTCACAGCTCACTGGAATTTTAGAAATTATACGAATTTAGTCATGGAGATTTACCTAAATAACATCAGCTGGTAATATAAACTTTAAAGTTACAAATGTTTTAAACTGTAAATAAACCTAGGAAAAGTTTAGTACAATTTTGAAACGTGTTTTGGTATGTACATGAATAGTTCAAGAGTAAAATCTTCCTGACGACTTCCCAAAACCACCCTTTATTGGCATCGATTGCTTGTGGCAGTATGGGATAAAAACTATAAAGACTATCAGATAAAAGAAAATCTTTTAAGTTCTTTTTAGAATTCCTTAAACATGATAGTTAACACACAACTGAATAGCTTCAAATTAAATCTATGTATCAAAGTATATACAATCAAGTGATATATTTTACAGCATAAATAAATAAACCTGAAATAAAACGAAAGAAAACATTGAATGAAAGTAGATAAGATCAGAACACATCAGATACTTATTGTTTAACAGAAAAAAAACAAAAGAATAGAATAAATGAACCATAAAGTGTTGTTTTTTATTATGCATCATATTTGTTATACGTAACTCCCAAAACTTTAATATTTTACAAGAAATATAGACATTTGAAAGGTACAAATATAGGGGTCAAACAGGGTGAATTTATGAACATCTTTACCCTCAAGATATTTTGCTACTATTGTAACAAAAGTATTGTTTATCAATATGTGCATGCATGTTTGTACTAAGATGAATCCTTTGAAACTAGGTTTTACTTATACATAATAAAATACATTTTTTAGGTGTGCTCCGCAAACTAAGCCACATAGAAGCTACCATTGTCCTCAATTTTTATACTAGGGAAATTTTTGATGAAATGGTTTGTTACCGTTGTTGTTTCTGATAACGCCAGCCGATTGTGTTTGAGAACTAACAAAATAGGAAGACAGTGAAACTTGGTACCAAAAATTTCTCAATTAAAAAATCTGTTGTATAAATGCCGAAAAATGTCTAGTTTTTGGAATGCTAACTGAAAAATGATTTCAATTTTCATTAAAAGGAATATGTTTAGAACTTTAGTGTCTTACCAACGGTATATAATTCAATAAGTCATTTGACAAAGAATGAAATAATGAGAATTCAACGAAGAAACTTTTCTTTTCGACGAAATAACTTACTTAAGCTGTACATTCTTATTTATAGTATTATAGTAAACATATGTCTGTACAAGGATAAAAAAGATTGCATTATAAAAAATGATTAGAGACTCAAAATATCAAATAAGATTGCTTAATAATCAGGAGGTTACAGGAATATGTAAGGATGAAAATTATTCACGGGCCAGAATTATGAAAGACAATTGTCCGCTAGACAGATGTGGAAAAATGGAAAATCCACTTGATATTTGGAGTCTCGAAAAAATTTGGGATGCAATATTGTCCGTTCTTCTATCGACATATATTTAACATACAATTATAAACAGGAGCGTACAGCTTAAGTAAATGATTTCGTCGAAACGAAAAATTTCTTCGCTGAGTTCCCTTTATATATATTGAAGCTACAATAGGTTATTTTAATTACTTGTGAGACAGAGTGGAAAGAAGGACATCTCATCAAAATACCAAAGAAATGAGATCTCAGTAAGTGTGAGAACTACCAAAGCATCACGCTACTATCGGTATCAGGAAAAGTTTTCAACAAAGTGTTGCTGAACTGGATGAAAGATTCAGTAGACGTTCAACTTTGAGATCAACAGTCCTGACTTCGTAAGGATCGGTAGTGTACAGGCAAAATCACGACACTACGGATCATCGTTGAACAATCAGCTGAATGAAACTAGTCACTAGACATCAACTTCCTTGACTATGAGTAAGCATTTGACAGTGTGAATAAAAGAACCTTGTGGAACATGCTTCAACACTATGGTGCATCTGAGATAATCGTTCGTACCATACGGATTTCATACGAAGGACTATATTGCGAAGTCGTGTATAGGAGACAGCTGACAGACGCATTCTAAGTGAAGATTGGAGTCAAACAAAGTTGCTTACTCTCTCCATCCCTCTTTCTTCTGTTGGTTGACTGGATTATAAGGACCACCATGTCTTAAAAAGAAGAACGGATTACAGTGGACAGCCTGCATACAACTAGACGGTTTGGACTGAGCAAATGACCCTGCCACTCTATCCCACAGACACTGACAAATACAGTTAAAGACAACTAGTGTAGCAGAAGCCTCCGCATCAGTAGGATTCAAAATACACACGGGAAAAAACAATATTTTTCAAATACAAAAAGGGGGAACACCAATCCAGTCACACTTCAAGAAGAAACTCTGGAAGAGGTGGAAACTTCAATCGATGAATGTGCGGGATCTGATGCAGAAGAGTAGGCAACGACCGGCAACGTAAGAGCGGCATGCCTACAGTTGAAGCATATATGGAACTCGAAGCAAAAGTCAGGCAACATTGAATTCAATATCTTCAATGCGAACGTAAAGACAATGGGTTCCACTGTACGGAGCTGAAACTTAGAGAACTACTACAACCATCATCAAAAACGTACAGTTATTTCAAGACAACTGTCTACTCAAGATATTCAACATCCGTTGACCCGATACCATCAGAAACAGTCTACTGTGTCAGAGAACTAACGATCCTCATTTATTGAAATTATAGGATAAAGCAGTTAACACATTACTTAAAGATATTAATCCAATACTTTTATATAGGTTAAAGCACACCATAAATTATCATATTAATTCGTGTTTGTTGAGTAGTTTCTATTCACCCAAGCACATATGCAAAGCGGTAATTATAAAATTTACTTGTGACTGTTTCAGCAAGCACCACAACGGATTCAAAAGTACATGAATTATGGTCTGATATCCCATAACATGTTATTAAAAGCTCAATAAGTTGTTGCAAACCAACTATCTTATTACATGTACTGTCTACTAATCATTTCAAACCTAGATTAACTGACGGCCTGTTGCATGATAAAAAGCCTAAGTTGAAGCAAGTTTTATTGACTGGACATGGCGTTTTTCTGATCTCGATTATTACTCCCTTTCATTATACTAGAGCTGACAAGTGGAAGTATGCGAAATACCTAGCAATGACAGCAGAAAGAGCCACAAGACAAGGAACATATGAAAACCAAATAATACAATGAAGAAACTAGCAGGGAGATGTAGTAAACCAGAGCAACCAATCAAAATCAACGAAGATAAACCAAACACTGGGATTAAAGAGCAGCAGAATAGGTGGTTAAAACACTTTGAAAAACTCTTAAATAGACCAGGATTACGCACACACCGGATATCGAAGCAGCAACACAGACCTTTCTATAGCTGTTACTTCAATCTTCAATATAAACGTCAAGACAGTGAGTTCCACTGTACGGGGCTGAAACTTAGAGAACTACTACAACCATCATCAAAAACGTACAGTTGTTTCTGGACAACTGTCTACTCAAGATAATCAACGTCCGTTGACCTGATACCATCAGAAACAGTCTACTGTGTCAGAGAACTAACCAACCTCGATCTGAATGGGAAATTATGCAAGTACTCTGGAGATGGATCGGACATATAATATGGAAATCATCAAACTACATCACGACGCAAGTTCTAACTTGGAATCCTAAAGAGAAAGGAAAAAGCGAAAGATCAAAGAACGCGTGCCATGATGAGTTGGAGGCGGACATCAAACGACTGAATAGCAACTGGCGACAACTAGGAAGGAGGGTCTGGGATAGAGTTTGATGGAGAATCCTGGTGAGCTGCTTATGCTACTCCACGAGGGGTAACAGGCGTAATAAGATAAGTAAGCAATAGCAGTTCGACTTCTTGATAGACTCGGAGCAATATCCCCATACATTTAACTACATACTGTTTTACTAAAAAGCCATGTTTATCCATTTCTTTTATGCTTACAGAACCACTTTCAGTACAAACTTTCTCAGCTAACATCAGTAGAGATAACGAGGAGATAATGAAAAACGGAACTGCTAAGAACCGCATCAATAGTAAGAATGTAAGAGCCAATGAAATTTTTTTGTCACTTTCCCTTTTTATTCAGAATATTGCTAAATAAGTAAGAAAAAGGATGATGTTTCAACCATCACAGATGTAAACAAACCATGCCTTCATATATAGGCGTGTAAAAACCTTTACACTTTACATTTCCATATTATAAAACACATATCATACTGTATGATGCGCAACCAGTAAATTTATGTTGTCATGGTTGCTCACTGCAAAATATGGATAAAATTAAGCCAATGTACTGGATAAGCTAAGGGGTATGTAATATTCAGTAAAAAGATTTTCAAAATGATAATTTCGAAATAGAAATAATTTCAATGTCATTTTTCCTACATCCCGTTTTTAAAATGAGCATTTTGAGTAAATATCTTAAATTCCACTTCACATTTAATAATCTGTATTGCTAACTGGTTTTCTACATGAATTCGGAAATAAACTACTTCTGAAAATTAAAATAAAGGTCACATCTGTATTTTCAAGAATACAGTTGAAATCGAACATTATTTTCACTAAACGAACAAACCTCGATTACTGTTTCCAGATGTAACATTGGTCAGAACTGGAATGCCTGTCAAAAATAAGGTTGAAAAGATTGAACTGAAGAAAACAGAAAGGGAAACATGAAAGAAGTGAGAATCAGAAGAGTCATAAAGGACGTGGAGGACAACCGATGGAAGATGTGCAAATAAAGTATCTAATGTATGGTCTTCATAATTTACGAAAGCACTCTGTAATTTTGCACTAAACAACAAATTGGTTTTCCTCACCAATTTTTCGTTCACTACATACTAAGAAAATGGATATTATCGTAACAGTATTCGAAATGTCAAGTGAATAGTACATACTTGTGTTTGCATGTGATTGCTCACCCTCACATTCAGTTGTAGAATGCTCAGATACATCCATACAGTTAAAACCATCCACATCAATTTGAAGAACTTTATTGTCCCACTTCGGTAATGTCATTGAAGATCCCTGTAAAGTAGGTAAATTGTGTGTCAGATATTGTGTTGATCCATTTGGATACATATGGATATTATGTCGACAATTTTCTCCAAAACTTTTTGCACATGGCTTATTCTGTAAACAATAATTATACTAAAAATCTTTGAACTGTAAATATTTAATGGTGTTTATGTATAAGATGAAGAAAAAAAAGTGTAATTTAATTAGAAAAGTAAACAATTAAGCTTGTTCAACATGAAACGAAAGTGTTTGTTTATCTTATTTTTAACGACTTCTCCAAAAAGAAGTGATATATTTTAGTAGTTTTCTTACCAAAGGTTTGATATTTATAGTTCAATACGTAGATATGTTTAGGTATATATGTTTTGAACTTGTTGATATCAATAACTACTTAGCTAAGCAACAGAGTATTTGAAAAGTATTAGTTGTCTGCAAGATGTGACTCATGTAACTTTTATACCCATGAGATTTGCTGAAATTGAGGAAGGAAGCATAATATCATGACTATAATTATGGATTCATAAATATATTCGAAAGTAACTCATCAAAGCATATATATATGATAGTTTATTAACGTAACATGCATATAAGAATATTATTCTCTATTAAAAATGCAAATGCTATTGAAGATAAAACTGTTAAATTTGGCTAACTGTTTAGTTGAATTAGTTGACTTGTTGTCATGCCACACATTATTCATCATGAATTATGTTCTGTATTTTAGTAGGAAGCAGTGAATAGTCACTTAGAAAATGAAACTCGAACAGAACTGATAGAGATTTAAACGTAATTAAAATGTTAATGGTGTATAAAATAAGACCATACCATTTTTTACTACTACTACTCGTTTAAAGCAGGCTTAATTTACTTGGTACCGCATTTCAAAACTTAAACTTGTATCAAGCAAAATTATGATACCAGTGAAATCTGCTTACTATTGGATTTACAGGTTGTAATTAAATGTTTCGCTTTCATTGAAGTGAAGAGCTAGTAAGAACGAAAATTATTATCAGTTTTTACGTGAATCTGTTGCTAGTAAATAAAATACAGTTTCTCACACCTCTAGAAGATTTGTTATTATTCATATGTCTTTATGTCAGCTACAAGCTCAGCTACCGATAAGTAGAGATGTTATGGTTTCAGTAAAATGATGAGCTGCTTCCCTGAAATCAGTTATTTTTACTCACCTATCATACAACCGATATTTTTATCATAAACAACCCTTAATCCATTATATATATATATAATTAGGAATAACTATATAAAAACTACATTTGATGAATAATGGTCAATAGTACATTGTAATTTAACTGTATTCACTAATATTAGGCTTCATGTTATAGGAGGATCCTAAACATTTTTATACAGCTTGTATATCCAAGCTTACTGATCTTGTCATGATCACCAACGATAAATCTCTTTTTGAATAAGCGAACACGCTGAGTTCATTAAAAGCCACAAATAAATTATTTATGCTGTATTTTTATGATACTAACTTTTGAAACTCTCTCATCTTTATATTTCTACCCAACTGAGCATATTTATTTCGTATCGTATAGTTGTCCATTCACTTTAAAAATCCCTTAAACATTTAAAATCACAATTTGTCTAGCTGTGAGGCATTTAAAGATAACCAACTTACATTGGTAATTGGTAATCCTGTTATTATACAATTACTTGAAATCGGGACTCCATCTTGTTGATGTGAATCAAACAAATAAACTGAATTCATTGTGGGTTTTTTCTGTAAAATATCAGTTGGTATTAAGTCACTGTGATTTTTATATGAGATAGTATTGAGTTTTGGCAGACGTTTACTAGAACTTCCACTATCTATATTACAATTAATATATGAAGCTGTAGGTAAAGTGGTATGAGTAACCAATTTCGGTGATTCACATGATTTAGAATTAGTGGATTTATTTACGAGAGTGGAACAACAGCAACAGCATTCAGAATAACACGAATCCGAATTGTTTGGGTGTGAAACACAAATATTTAGAAGGAAGATAGATAGAAATGCAAGCAATAGACCAGATACTATTAGGTCCAATAGTTCAGCTAGGTAAAGAAAAGTTGGATAATATGAGTCTAATAAGTTGAAATTAATATGTCAAAAGATATAAAAAATTAGAATAAAAAATGAGTAGACAAATGGCGAGTCATTTATTGCATGATATTTATTTTCAGACGAATTAAGCAATCGATAATGGAACAAATAATAAACCGCTTTTCATCACAATAATGTTAATCACTTTCTCTTTAGTAAAAAGCAGTCCAAACCTATCCGTCAAATGTTGAAAATAAGGTAAATCAAACGGAAATATTCATCTTTTTCAACAGTTTAAAAAATTGGCTATAATTTGTTTTTAATGTTCTGTAATTAAGTGAACACATGAAAATACTTCTTAAACCAGGTCACAACAGGTTCTTCCAATTTTTTAATATTTCCACTTTTTTTATACATTTAAAGACCCGTATATCAAAAAGTTCCAGAAAACGTGCATCATGTATTCGATTTCCAAGAAAACCATAACATTTTAACAGTGGTATGTGGATAACTATTTTTGTTATAATGACATTACAAAATGACATTGCTATTTTATAAAGATGGTCTACATTATTAATTGCCATCAGATGAACAGTTGATTTGGTGCTCCTTAATTTTGCTTTTCAAGCCACTTAAAAGAGAATGCTATCGAACTCGGTATATCTTAGAATGGCTAAAGAATATGTATATGAAAGAGCTTTCATGATTTTAGCCTAAATAAGACTTTCGTTTAAATGTAATTTGAACTACCTATTAATCCACTACGAAGAACAAGAATATATTTTGGTTAAATGTTTTTCATGTTAACTCGATCATTACTGTCCAGTAGAACAGGTTATATATATATATATATATATATATATATATATATATATATACCAGTCGTAAGCAGAAAAGATGAATAGACAGTAGATTTTAAATTCACATATTACTTGTGAAGAAGAGACAGAAATAGATTATAATCCCTAACCAAGTTATTTAATATAATAAAGTTAATTTTAGATACAGTCAATGAATGACTGAATGAGCGATACGAGTGTACAATCGTATCAACACATAAGTGTACGTATACAAACAGATACACACTGTCACATAGACATAAAAATGGAAACAAATAATATTGAACGGTTCAAATAGAAATGAGTATCAAGGCAATATAATGATAAATGAAATGAAAAAATACAATTTATAATCCCACTTACCGATTGGACTATAAATTGCCTGTACTGATTCCAAACGTATAAGACGATTTTTATCCCTTGTCAGCTGTATTGTAACACTGACTAATCTATTGTTCGTTTATTTTTAATTATTGTTAATTAATTATTCATTAATATAATTTGTAGTTGGTTTTCGCGAATAACAATAATGAATTATATATTAGTTAATTTTTTCATTTATTAGTAATCGGAGTAAATACGCACATTGTCCGTATATACGCGAACATATGAATTGAACACAGTTCATTATAAAAAAGAAGAGATCACAAAAAGTAAAATGTGAAAAAAGCATTAAGTAATAGTGTGTGTGTGGGGGGGAAATTGATGTTGATCAGAAATAAATTTTTACTCCAATCAAAGATATATAGCCAAATATAAAAATAACAGAAAATTAATAATGATAATAGTAATCTCTATTGCTCCAGATACATTCATTAAAAGTTTTTGTTTTTAATTTTTCTGCTATTTATATTGCTTTATATGTCATCTTAACGAAGGGAAAACATGACCAATTTAAACAAAAAGTAGAAAATATCGTCTAGAGAATGATATACTTATATAACTTAAGAAGAACTACTTATGTTGAACTACAAAACCTTAATGAAAAACACTTGGAATGAAGGGTTATTGCAAGTAACGTAAAAATAAAGATGTATTATATAGACATTTGTTAGCTATATGCAGTTCCAATGTTGTTATAATTTATATTGTTGTAGAGCGTAAAATATTCACAATAAAACTATCTACTATCATTATATTAGCTTTACAGTTAAATACATAATAATTACTTCCTAAAATCTCCATCTATTTACAATATACTTGCATTGCATTTTCGAATGATGCTAAAGCTTTTCTTCTGCCTAAACAAATATTTTAAGTGGTAATTTTCAATACTGATGGTGATTTTTTAAAGATCATTTATTTTTAACATTAGTTCCGAATGGTCTGTTTGTCTTGGATTCTAGCCTAAGATAAGATGGTTATACATTTCTGAAAAATCTTAAACGAGAACTAAACAACTGTCCAACACAGTATGACTTCTTTTACTTCATCTGGCTTCCAAAACTGATCACTAAAGGGATTCCTAAGCTATTTTTCAAGTGTCATGTTAGCGTTCTATAGGTGTAATTGCTTTAATAATCTGTCACGGGGAAGGAACTAATAATCATCCCACTAGAGTAATCGTTTATTTAGCCGTACTTCTTACAGCTGTTATTCATATGTTTATTGTTAGCTCATTAATAATAGATATGTTCTCATACATGATTTTATCACAAAATAGAGAAGTTGTAGATTTTTTATTGTCTTGACACCACGAAGAAATAATCATATTTATCACCCACATGAAGTAATTATAGACATTATTAATTAGGTAAGAGTTAGCTGACTTGAATAGGCTACCCAATTTCGACCTTTGGTTCTCCCTAAACAGTGAGTCTAATGAGTTCGAACGATCCCTATATGTAAACACTGAAATTAATATGAATACCGTCAATCACTTTGATATAAGGAAATTTAGATCTATGCCAGAAATGTCTCAAAAGAACCAAGATAAACGTTATAATTTTCTTTTCGGTGTAATGATTTCCCCGTTAGTGTTTATTTTATTGAAGTTAAAAATGAATGAATACTTTTGACCAAACTTTAAACATTCATAGTTCTTTAAACTTCACTGTCTTGCTCTAAAGTTTTACAACAATCTGCCAGTTGTTTTTTCCATCAAACTGATTTCTTGTCCAATATTTTACTCCAGAGAGACTGAAACAATATATTTTTGTATTACCCATATATGTTTGTGCTCAATTCATTTTATTGTAGTATAAGTATAGATTGGCAATCTCTGCTGCTTAGAAATTAAACCCATTAAATCTTCTCCATGTTCTCAGTGTTTTGAATATCCACAATGTAAAAGCTACTATTTCTTGCCACTCTTGTATCTATCCATCAAAGGAGCTGTTCCTTTAGTGCACAATACACTAACCGTAACTCCGTTCCGTTTTTTGAAATCCACCATTGAAGCTATAAATACTTGGTTGCATAATGTAAACTATTTTAATGCTTTTTTACATTTGATGAACTTACAAAACATCTTTTTTTAATTTTGCTGGTTCAATCAAACGATGTGAGGAATATTTGTTATATATGTCTTAAAATTAAGAAAGCCATAATAGGTCATAACGTAAATTTTATATCCAAACAGGACTTATTTAACTCATTCAACTGCAATAATGTTAATTACAGTTTGCTTAAACACTTAAAAATTTTTTTCTCTAGTACAGTTCTGATTCTTGTCACATCGAATTCTTGTTTTCATTTTATTTCTGTATCACATTTTATTATTTCACTTTTGTTTGGTAACGTAAATTCATATGATCTCTTAATTACAAAATTCTTCGTATGATGATCAATAAAATAATGCAACTATAAAGGTGTCATTTTTCGAAAATAATTTACAATGATTGTTGCTACTATTCCGCTTGTTGTTATTTTTGAGTAAATGTGATTATACACGAGTGAATATTTTGAGAAAAATCACTTAAAATAAATGTATACAGATGTGAAAGGTGAAGAGAATCAATAGATTACAAAGACTATATATTGGCTTAACGTAACAACATATAAATAAGTTGAATCAAGAAAAAAACAATTCATGGAGAATTCTCATTGGTTGCTTACAACTGTATTCATTGTAAAGTGTAACAGTGAGATATGACAATATGGAGTAATCGACAATGACGACTAAAAAAATTAGAGTAACAAAGATTATCAGTGACCAAAAACATGAATTTTCTTTGATTTGCTGAAGCAGTAACAATTGAAAAACAAGACCAGATTTATATGTCGAGAAAGGCACAGAAGTCAATTATAATTACCTTGGTAAATTCACAATTTTAAATATCTCCTGAACTTATTACTATTATTTTAAAATTTTGTGTTTATTTATCCATACGATCCTCACTTAAGTGACTGTTTTTTCATGTACGCTAGAGTCATCCTTTCATTTATCTGCATTTACACTCAGTCACTTATTCAAATTTATATAGACTCTTTAAATCCCATGTAAATGTTACATAACCCATATTTTCAATTTTGAATTCTACATAATTACAACCACATCATTTTGTCTTCTATATCTATTTTCAAGTGACTTAAAACCAATTTAAGCTTCTCAAGTCTTCTGTGAATACCATACACACTCCATATGATTACTGCCTCACCTCCTATCTTCCTTAAATTCGATATTACAATGACCTCGCATTCACTGATTACTCCACATTGTCGTATCTTACTATTGCACTCTACAATAAATAAAGGTGTAAACAACCAATGAGAAACCCTGAAATAAACTGAATTTATATTATTATTCTGCCTCCAGTTTTGTTTTGATCTTAATAAAATCAACAAAAGAAACCAATATATGATCTAAGTAATGATTTTACGTTACTAAAATAACGCGATCTTTATATTTGTCAACTAAACCAACTGGAATACTTATATGATCAAACCGAAAAGCTTTAAAGATTTTCAGTTTAGAAATTAATTCCAGAAACAAAGATGGTTCATAATTCTTATTACATATTAATGTTTATTTACTACCTGAATCAATGTGTGTAACGTACTACCGAACCATTCGTTAAAAAAATCATTATTATTATTAATTATTCTTTCGTACTTTGATAAGTTTAACTTTTAAATGTCAGTTCACTAACAAAATGTTTAAAACATCACAAATGATAAATAAATGAATACAAATGATTTACTCACCCTTCTTCGGTGCTAGATTTTATCACCCGTGTATGAAAAACAAAATAAGAAAGAGATGAAACCAAAATGTATAATTTAGTTAAATAACATAAAAAATAGAGGAAATATATAAAAGTGGGTAGATACAGTTGAATTTTCAGAAAAGAAAACACTTAGCAACGTTATTCTAGGAAAATTCTTCAAAACAAAGGAATTTCGGTCAGGCATTTAGAAATATAGCAATCAACGATTTAATTCTAAATAGGAATACAAAAACTGTCAGCATGCTATTAAAAGTATTTTTTCTAAAAAAAAGTCCATAAGGTTTGAATAGATTTTTTGAAATAATTTTCACTTATTTAATTTGTGAATTTGCTGTTTTGTACGCAAAACAAACCATAGTTTAATATATAATCAAGTTATGAATTCATCACATTTTTGTGTACAGCTGAAAATACCCGTCAAAGTAATCAGCATCATTGAACATCCAATGAATGTATAAACTGACATCGACAAACAAGTACTTTAGAATTTAATTTAATCCCATAATTTATGAGAACAGAATTGGAAGTAAATTCATTTACTTAATTTAAAAGATCTCTAAATTTTGTTCTACGAATCTTTTGTGGTCTATCTCAATACATATAGTTCAAAACCAAAAACTATCGTTTATAGAATGTATGAGGTGACTGCCATCAAAATAAATGAGTTCAGATTATCATAAAAAGGCTAGACACCACTGATTATTTAATGAAATGAATTTTTTGGGTATTGTTACACATATTAGTTAAGCACTCAAATGTTTGATACACTGGTTTAAACTCCAAAAAGATGTTACCAATTCCTTCACTTCTGAGAGTATATTTTGTAATGTTGCTTAATAATAAAATAATCACAATACAAATATGACTACAGATCAACAGCCTTTCTTAAAATGATCATCTCAAAAGTAAATAATTTTTATGGTTACCTACCTGATCAAGCTATCTGGTTTAGTGTTTAAACTAGCCCGCTTAATTGGAACAGTTTCAATTAATTCACGGTTATCCAAAACTAATTTAGAAAACACCGTTCTTAATTGTTTGAACTGCGAATCGGTAGCTAAAAGAACAGCTTGAAGACTCGCTATATCTTCACTGGCAACAATTAACTGTGATTGTTCTAACTGATTTTCCCAACTAGTATCGTTGTATATTAAATTATTGTTAGTTTGCTTGCACTGATGTGTCTTACGTTGTAAATCAAGCATTGTCACATCAGAAAACAGGTCGTTGTGTAATAATTGATTAGCAAGACGATCCAACTCGTCGACGACGTTTAAAAAAAACAGGCGAACAAGATGAATGTGAAAATCTAGTCCTGGGACTAATGTTATATCGCGAAACAAAATGCTTTGTCTAAAAAGGCGGACAAATTCCTTTCCTAAACGGCTGACCCTTTCTAGCATACGAGAATGTTCTTCACTATCCATACATAATCCGTTAGATCGGTCTGAAGAAGAATGTTTATTTGTTGATAGACGTTCGCTATCCCAAAGCATTAGGTCCGTAGCTTCTAAATTAAATCTATGTTTTCTATGAACTTTATAAACTGCACGTTCTACTGTCTGTAAATCCAAATTTAAACTTTGTAAAAGACGAGAAAGTTGTCTTAACTGTTCAAACGCTGTACGATTAGCTTCGCGTAAAAATGCCCATGTTTGAAGGAGTAAGCCATCCTGAAATAAAATGTGTATTCGAAAGAACACTAGGTATTAATTTAATGATAAATATATAATGTAGTTCAACAAAAATACATGTACATACTATTCTTTGAATTTAAATAGAACTAACTATCATTTTAATAATGCACGCTTTTAGAGAGAAAGTTATCTTGTGCTCGGAAATCAACCGACAGTCTTGGGTTTGACTTCAGTGCGCAGCGTCGTGGGTGAACACTGCTGAAGAGTTCTTTGCCAAGACAAAACGGTGGCTCAGTGCCTCCAAGCTTCCAACAATTTTCTAACTGATACCATATCCTGGTTTCAATGACATTTCCTTCTCGTTAGCCGTGTTTAAAAAACTGCACTGATTTAAACTCGATGCTAAGTTAGTAGGCGTTTTATAAATTCTTTGGTCAGAATCTAAAAATTATATGTTAGGTAGTTGAAGATAATAGACTAGAGATTCCAGCTGGATTAGTCCAGTATAAAAATATGTGTATGCGCTATGTTTGAAGAAATTACGAGTTCACCTAACCTGAGAACGGAACGAAGACTGTTACACAATGACAGATAAGTTAGCTATCAGACATAATATACCAGATATGGTGAAGTGGGAAACAAGATGAGAGATATATGACCACTAATATGACAATTGTTTTGGCTTCCTTAGCACTCCATGTACTACAATAATGCTGTAATTGTTTCTCGAAAAAATTTTCACGAAGAATTCATTTAGTTTAAAGTAGATGGCTTTTCATGAAGTAGGTAGAATGTATCAGTCCCTTTCTAGTTGCAACAATCACGACACTCAAGAACATTCAAAGTTGAATTGATAAGTTGACCTAAGTTAGACCACCATTAGAAACCTGGAATTACTAGACGGCCGTCTGGTCCTGGTATGGGACTCCTCAGAAGTATGCATCCACAATCTCGCACGCGAACCTCGAATCTTGGACCTCCGATCTCGCGCGCGAACGCTTATGACTAAATATTCAGAATTATTAACTGGCTTTTAAGAGTAATTAGTTCTCTAGTCAAAACAGTTAAGAAGGAGAATAATTAACACATAGACCATTTCAATTCAATGCACAGAAGCGTTTATTGCTCCGTGTTGACGGTTTAATGAATTATTAAGAAGTAAAATAATAGTAATATTTTGAAATATCGTTTGTAAAGAAACAAATCATGTTGCTTCAGCATTACGAATATCCTTTTTTGTTTTTATGATGATATCATATTATTTCAAGACTGCTGAACAAAAATAGTTTTCGAACACTTTTATTCAGAGATGTGCTAAGCAAGATGTTTATTAAATAAATTCTTAAATCCTGTAGTTTATGTATAAAAATTACTGTTATTGGTTAAACAGTTATATACAGGTATTTTTTGGTGATGCACACTCCTGTTATAGTCACCATTTTGTTTTATTTCCCACCATAAGTTTACTTTTATGATTGAAATGTTATCAACATAAAACGTACAATATAACATTAATGGTACAATTCACTGAATCCCTAAAGGAGAGCCACTAAACCTCTAAGTAAGTTTCATTCAAACGGAAGGGATGGTTGCTCATTAATTTTCATCTGTATGTTAATTTAAATAAAATTGTGGTTTAATTATCAAAGGGCAAAATATATGTTGAGAAACCAGTACATAAAAATTTTAAAAAGCAACATAGTGGTTAATTAATTTCATAAATTAATGTAAAAACTATTATTCTGACCATCCACAGAACTCGCTTGTATACAACGGCTAAGGACATTTAAACAATAAAATTGAATACTCATAATATATCGTATTTACTGAATTTATTTTCATGAATCCAACTCGTAGATAAGCTTTATAAGTCAAACCAATCCCTTCGTAAAATAATGCATTGAGTGAAATTAAGATTAAAAACTAGCTACAAGTAGTTATGATCAGGTGTAGTCTTAGTCTAGGGATTTCCTATTTTTTGACATTAGTTGTTAAACCTGTACAATATGTTAAAAGGTAATGATTTTAAATTCTAGTTGATGTGGATAAATATCAATATAATAGTACTGTCTGAATTTTTCGACAGCACTGAAAGACAATAACAAACTTTATTTTCTATCGCTTACTCAATCAAAAATTATTTCTGTTAATTTTCACTCTCTGCTCTGTTAAAAATGTTCTTTTGTGATAAGTTGTATAATATTATGTTTATCTTAAGTCAGTGCACAAAAAATATCTAATGCTTTCTTTTATCAATTAAGCCAGATAAAGATTTGTGTGACCAATTTCAACACACACTTATACACTTGACGATGTTAATTTTGTGTTTTTACAAATGTAAAAAAACCTAGTAAATGTCTGTTACAGCAAAAAAATAAAAGATCTCAAAGTGTAGATCAAAGACAGATTTTAATTAGATAACTAGTGATAACCATGAAGCATTGAACAACTTTGTCTAAGATAGATCATGATGTACACTACGAAATTCAATAATCTCCATCAACTATTGTAATAAAAAATTCCTCTTTCAAACAGTACATAAGTACTTAAAAGTGATAATGTATTGTTAATAATATTTTAAATTTTGTTTTATTAGAAAGGACGTTACACTCACAGAATAATAATGATAAATAATCAAACAATTTATAAAGTTACATGTTTTCATAGTGTAAAAATGATTAAAACACAATTGTATGATGAGAATTTTTCAGCAAAAAAAATGATTAAATAAAAAAATTTCCAATACAAAACAGTAACCTACCCAAATCTCTTTTCTGTAAATGTGCAGAAATTGTTCCGGTTGATTTATATTCAATTCTTTAGCATTTTTATGGTTATTGTTATTAGGATCATAATCACTAATGTCATCAGAAACAGTTGTCAATTTTTGGTTTTTGGATATAATTTTGTTATTAAATTGTTGTTGATCAGTAGGTAGTTGAAAATTATTGTTTGATTCAAAATTGGTTTGATTTATTTTAGTAAATAGATTTAGAGAATTTGTAAATAATAATGGTGATTTTAATGCTTGTGTTATAGATTCCACTGAATAAGATATTGCTTCACAGGGATTATGACATTGACATTGAACTGGTGATAGAGATTCTATGGTGTGATGATAATGGTGGTTGTGTTTATGAAAAATAAAACGAATAATTAAAAAAAGAGTAATGCGGTATTTCAACTAAATAAAGTTTCATGTTATTGCTCGAAAACACATTCCATAGGACAATGAATTTAAACAGAAATCTTTATGTTTTGATGTGGTATTTTTTAATAAACAGTGCGTAAAACATTATTAGATTAGATACAAGAAAATATATGTAACATAGAATTAGATAAATAATAATCACAAAACACAAGAATAGAGAGAAGGAATTATTTAAAGTCGCTTTGTCTCTGCCCATCACGTTAAAAACCTAGGCACAAAAAATGCCTAATTTATAAAATCGAATAAGTTTGATTTAGACATACAGAGAAGAAGTAAAACAAACTGGCTAGTCGAAGGTTAAGATAAAGTAAATACTGAGTGAAAACGCATAGAAGTAAGCATAAAAGCTTGGATATATTAAAGACTATATGACCAAGTATTTACAGAAAACAGCAGTGCAGAGAATAGTTAAATCCTCATTTATTGAAATTATAGGATAAAGCAGTTAACACATTACTTAAAGATATTAATCCAATACTTTTATATAGGTTAAAGCACACCATAAATTATCATATTAAGTCGTGTTTGTTGAGTAGTTTCTATTCACCCAAGCACATATGCAAAGCGGTAATTATAAAATTTACTTGTGACTGTTTCAGCAAGCACCACAACGGATTCAAAAGTACATGAATTATGGTCTGATATCCCATAACATGTTATTAAAAGCTCAATAAGTTGTTGCAAACCAACTATCTTATTACATGTACTGTCTACTAATCATTTCAAACCTAGATTAACTGACGGCCTGTTGCATGATAAAAAGCCTAAGTTGAAGCAAGTTTTATTGACTGGACATGGCGTTTTTCTGATCTCGATTATTACTCCCTTTCATTATACTAGAGCTGACAAGTGGAAGTATGCGAAATACCTAGCAATGACAGCAGAAAGAGCCACAAGACAAGGAACATATGAAAACCAAATAATACAATGAAGAAACTAGCAGGGAGATGTAGTAAACCAGAGCAACCAATCAAAATCAACGAAGATAAACCAAACACTGGGATTAAAGAGCAGCAGAATAGGTGGTTAAAACACTTTGAAAAACTCTTAAATAGACCAGGATTACGCACACACCGGATATCGAAGCAGCAACACAGACCTTTCTATAGCTGTTACTTCAATCTTCAATATAAACGTCAAGACAGTGAGTTCCACTGTACGGGGCTGAAACTTAGAGAACTACTACAACCATCATCAAAAACGTACAGTTGTTTCTGGACAACTGTCTACTCAAGATAATCAACGTCCGTTGACCTGATACCATCAGAAACAGTCTACTGTGTCAGAGAACTAACCAACCTCGATCTGAATGGGAAATTATGCAAGTACTCTGGAGGTGGATCGGACATATAATATGGAAATCATCAAACTACATCACGACGCAAGTTCTAACTTGGAATCCTAAAGAGAAAGGAAAAAGCGAAAGATCAAAGAACGCGTGCCATGATGAGTTGGAGGCGGACATCAAACGACTGAATAGCAACTGGCGACAACTAGGAAGGAGGGTCTGGGATAGAGTTTGATGAAGAATGCTGGTCGGCGGCGCTTGCTACCACAAGGGCTGACAGGCCTGAGTAAAATAGTAAACGCCATCAAAAGCCATTAAACATAAAACTTACAAGTAATGTGACTATACGTATGCATTACAATCTCAGAACTTTTCAACAGACGGATCATTAGTTATGGAGGATAAAAGGAAATTATGTACTTCTTTTAAAACACAAATAAGAACTTCAAATTTGGTATGATGTTCTTTCCGTAAATATATGAACAAATTGCCAAGTTATAAATTGTAGATAAGTGGCATGTCATAATTTAGTTCTAATTTATTGATATATATATATATATATATATGATTTATTTTAAATTAAAAACATAAGGACCATTGTCCGATAAATTTTCTATTGATACATCTGAATATTGGTATGTAAAGAACTTCAAAAAGATAGTTCCAGAGTATCCAATATTTGCAAACTTTTGTTTACAATACTTATGCCCGAAACTCATTTTATTTACTTGATAATGTCTATTAAAATACAAAACTTACAATCAGAAATATATGAATAAAGATCATGAGAGTATTTCCACTTAATAAATCAAAAAAGATAGGATAACAACACAAAAGCGTATTTATTGTTGAAAATATTTAGAAATTTACATCATATGACAGTTCTTTTTCTATTGAATTAAAAATGTGTTTCTAAGGTATACACACCTAGGTATAGACAAACAGTTTCACAAACCACGTAAGTTTAAGTTATCACACTTCTAAACGAGAAAGTAAGGAAAATAAATTCAAAAAAATGCGATACAATAAACAAGATGCCCACATGTATTGAGTAGCTGAAATGCTTAAGCTCTAAAAGATAAATAATGTCTTTCTTTAACCATATCACTTAGGTTCTCGACCATAACCAAGCCTTCAGAAGATGAGAGAACAAATAAAATGTTTAACACTAACTCAAACTTAGGATAAAACAATGGGAAAAGTTGGAATATTTACAGGAAATGTATGGGTTGGCCTAGAGAATCAGCCATTTAGAAAATGGTTTCTAAGCTTCAGGTCTGACTTAAAGCTTTTGCCGACGGCTTAAGAATACCTTTTCTTCTGACTGAATTTAGGAAAAAAACAGTTTTCAAAAGTTTTTTGACTAATCTAAGTTTTTATAAATGAAAATAATATATTTGCAATATTCCAATGAGTAGAAAAATTAGATTTTCTGACGTTTCGTGACTCAATGTAACCCACTTCTTCAAAAATTAAATACTACTAACGTACGATTTAAACCTAGGTTAATTTTAATTCGGTTACTTATTCTTCGAAGAAGGGGCTTACACCGAGTCACGAAACGTCAGAAAATTTAATTTTTCTACTCACTGGGATATTGCAAATACATTATTTCTATTTATAACAAACTACCCAATACTGAGTTTATTTGAAATTATCAAGCCGAACCTTGGTAATGATACCTATAATCTAAATTCCGTTGATGTGTATATTATTTGTGAATATTTGACTCTACTGTGTTTAGTTCTACATCTTACATGAGTAGTGCACTGGTTCGAATAGAGCTTTCTGGAACTTTACGTTACTGTTATAACTTTCAGATTCAACTAATCAATAGATTATGGTCAAATAAACTGTTCTCATATATGTTCAACCTTTAGTGAATTCCCCTTCGGTACAAGTCGATAATGATCTAATAAATTAACAACCGAGTAACTTACTTCCGAAATTTTCATTTAAATTAGTTTAAATATTTTTTATTGAATGAGTATATACTATGTCCATACGCTCAAAACGTATAGATTCAAATGAATAGTCACCAGTATCAAAACATGTTTAATACATCCAATGAACTTAAACTAAAACTTTATCGACAAAATGCTAGTAATAAAACAGCTTTTAGATTATTCTCTCGAAATGTTTTGCAACTTCAGTGTGTAAAACAGTGACCATTGTGTTAAAGATGCAAGGTTGTTGAAATGAGCAAATTTAGGTTATAATTGCTTAAATAAGTTATTTAAGCTCATCAATACACAAAGTTATCAACATTGTAGTTAGATTTCTGTAACTTTTAACTTTAATAAACAAATCTGACAGATCCTTATGTCCTTACAATACATTACAAATTACGAATTAAAAGCCAGTAACCTCTTTTACAAAATAATAAAAATGACAATTCTGAAAACTTCCCATTCTAAAATAATGTTTTCATTTTCAGTATAATTATCGACAAATAAAATGACTCAAAATAGATGAAAATATAACGTACACACAATAATTATTGAATCTAAGAATATATAGGTACATCATTCATTATTCATATGTGAATATAGTTTTCCATAGTCGCAATCATCTGGTAGGTAAATTTAGCCGAGAAATATCGATCTTTTGGTTCAGATTACCTTACAAAAAATTCAAACTATGACTGATAGCCTTCTATATCAGAAGTTCAAGGGACAATAATTAAACATATTATGGAAGAAGCAACTCAAACAGTTGTCAAGCCTGATGATTATGATTATTTACAGACAATGCAGTTACATTGGCTGATGGGTATAACATGTTCAAAATCTATCTCTATATCCTTAGACTCCGTATGTGAAACTTTCCGGTTATTGAAGAAACTATCATTTCGTTATGACTACTATTTTCAAGTTTGATTTTTTCAGTCATTAAGACATAAGAGCTATATATAATGTGAAACCGTTCCTGCTTAAAATATTTACGCCTAATCTCAACGTTAATCACATTCTACATAATAATGAAAAGTAGTTTAAATGATCGAAAAATACATGAATTTAAAAATAAATTAGAGCTTTTTATTATAATCTAGTAATGATCACACTTTTTGACTATCATTTGTCATATTCGCAGAGGGAAGAAACAATTAGAGATGATAAATACAAAGTTAATTACTACTCGATTTCCGAATAAACACATAAATGAAGTCAAATTAAATTCAGTAAATTTTTACACAACTTATTCATAGATCTCTCTCCAAATTTGATAATGAAGGTTCATATTGATCCTCTGTTGAGCGACAAATAAATATAAGATGCTAGGTTCAATTGTTTTTAAAATCGTGCTGCACAAGGTTTTAGCAGCCTAACCTGTGATATTTTCATACTTGTTTCCTGAATATAAAAGCAACTATTTATCGTAATTTTCTAACGCTTCTAAGGTTGAATATTATTTCTTGAAGTCATTAGCTTCGTTCCTCAATATAAAAAACACAATATTATCTCGTCAAAGTTATCAGTTTTGAAAAAAAGCCTATTATCATATTGTACCAACGCATTTATGGAAATAGACCTTTTGGTTCTTGGAAAGTCAATGGTTTGCTTACAGTTTGATAACCAAAGGCCAGTTACGTACTCAAACAAACTTGAACATAAATTTATTTGGGATTGTTTGTTGGAATATTCCCATTGATGTTTAGGACTGAAATCAATCATTCACTTATTGGTATATTCACATCCTATGCGGGTTACCTTGATATTGCCCTATTCAAAAGCATAATAAGCAAAGATTATATAAATAAACGGGCTGACCTTCATGAATAAATTGAAATGAAAATATATGTAATTAACAGCAATTTACAAATAAACATAAAATTGTATTCATTTATTATGGTTACAAAAATTAAATGCTACAATGTGCTTACAGATAGAAAAGAGATGTATTCTTGGTGAAGATAAAATGAAAACTAGGTAAAGGGATTGATTAACTGGCTTCATCACACAAATGGAGAGTCCGTTCAGACTCATCTACATTCCACTTAGTACTTATAAGACTATCGGTTTCACTGAAATAAGAATGAAATACAATAAACACTTTCATTTTTTAACAGACTTTCTTAAATTACACCTTTTTATTTCAACTGTAATTACCAATTATTCTTTTAGGTTATTCACTGTTAAATTATTGTTTCGACATGTACTATTGAATCCCTTTAAATCTTTCAAACATAGATGAAATCTTAAAAAAATTATAAAATCGTGTAAAATTTATAAATGCAGAAATAATCAACTCACCAATCATTGAATTCATAGTTAATCCACATCTCATCATTTCAAAAACAGTACAATCTGTAAGACAACAAAGAATTATTAGTATCAGAAGAGGTTTTGTGGAGATTGTAGGAATTTCAATAGTCCAGATCATGAGTCAGTTGAAGCTAGACCACCATGGAAAACCTGGGAGCACTGGATGGCCGTTTCGCTGTATTGTGGGACTTCTCAGCAGTGCGCATCCACGACCCCGCCCCGCGGGATTCGAACCCAGGGCCCATCGGTTTCGCGTCAGGCGCTTAACCGACTAGACCACTGAGTCGGCATCCGACGGTGTTAATGTTTAACTTCAGTTGTGAGATAGTAACTCACTGATGAAAATGGTGGCTGTGTCGCTCAATTTCGGGGATCAGTTGAAGTTAAACACCACTGGATGCTGGCTCAGTGGTCTAGTCGGTTAAGCGCCTGGCGCGAAACCGATATGTCCTAGGTTCGAATCCCGCGAGGCGGGGTCGTGGATGCGCACAGCTGAGGAGTCCCACAATACGACGAAACGGCCATCCAGTGCTCCCAGGTTTTCCATGATGGTCTGACTTCAGTTGACTCATGATCTCAACTATTGAAAGAATTATTCGCTACTACAATAACGAAACAAATAATCTTTCAAAAACTTTTTTCGAAAACAAAATTATGATTTCTTGTCACAACAAAGTGTTCATAATAATAGTTTAACAATGGTAATTCACTATAAATAATCACAATAATAACAAAATATTATGTCTTGTTTAGAGGATAAAAATATTTTTATATCCAAACGTTCGATTTAAATCCGTATTAAGAAAAGGTATAGAAAAATTCGTTGGTATTTAAATAATTCCAAATTTAATTTAATGACATTGAGAGAAACTACTCAATGACGAATCACTAGTTGGTTGCTTTCATACAAAAAGTTGTAAAATATCAATTGTCCACGATATTTTTTATTTCGTATGTAATATTCTATTAAATCTCTCGTTTATTTTCATACAATTATCGACTTTCTTCACTGTTTTCAAACTGTACACTCAATTGTTTTTTCCCATAAAATACCAAGATGTTAACAAATCTACCAATATCCATTGAATTTAGAGCACAAATGGTTGTGACTGACATTGTATAAACTGTATTGTAAGAGAATGAAATTAATATAAACATTTAAATAGGAGTCGGAGTTCATTTACAATAAAATGCGTAGTTGGTTATCACAAAAATAATCAAGATACAGTCGAGTAAAAGTATTTGTCAAGAAAATATTTTAGCAGTATGTTAATTAAACTGAAGTACGTAATTATTTTTTTCTGGACACAAGACAGATACAATGTTAATCTCTAACGGAAATAAAATTAATAAGTTACAAAGTGCAAACATCCCGAGAAACATTGCGAAACATTTGGACATTTTTAACACACAGAGAGAAGCAGGTGATGTATAGAACAATGTACAGACAAGAAATACAAAGGTGAAAACAAGAATTAACAGAATGATAGATCAATATTTATTATCGATTAAATGACATAAAATCACTAATCTTAAGTGGAGGACTCACAAGTGTAGAAAAAGTGAGAAAAATTCACTAAATATGACATTTGAAACATCCATATTCTTTGTATTTCATAGTTACTATTTTCTATTTGATAAATTAAATTTGTGACTAAAGCATTTATAGAAGTCAGGCAAATTAGACAATGTTGCCTATGCTGTAATTTTTGCAAAATGTACGTAAATTATCTGACAAGTGTTTTCAGATGTCAGGTACACTATCTGCTTTTTAGTCATTATCGTATGGGAATAATATTTCAAAGATAGATCTAAGTGATCAAAAATATCCAATCTTTTTACATCTATCAGACCTGAAGGTTTAATCATAGGTACATATATGTTTCTTACTTCTATGACCATTCAGGTTGAAAAGTTACTATAAAAGCTCAAATAATTAGACTTAAAATGTTTGTGTTAATTTATTTATTAAAATAAGTCGATACTAAAATGCATATGAACGTTCACAACCGATCCGTATAACAGATTAAAATAAAAATTAATTTAAATTTATTCAATTACAGAACCTGATTTATTGAAAACCTATGACATAATAAAAACATTTATCTATACCGTGTATATTCAGCTTGACTTCTCATCAACTTCTATTAATCATCTAACCATTTACTGAAAGTTAAATCAACGTCAGTAAGCAGTACTATGTCTTTATCTACTAATTTGTTGAATTGTTCTTCTAAATCATGCCAAATTATCAACATTTATAGGTCTTTACAGAAATCTTAGAGTCTAGTGACAGTTTACTGCCATATTTCGCTTTCAAACATTTACAAGTTCTATATGAATGTTTACGTGTTTAGGAATACTTACATTTGGCTACAAATAATATCAATGACTTTTTGTTGCTTTTCACATAATACTGGACAGAGTTACATTGAAACACATACCTTTAGTAAAACTAACCTAACAGAACATCACTTAATTACAGCAGCATATGGTTGACCAAACGTTTTACAAAATATGATGAAAATAAAACTTTAGACTTATTGGAATTCGAACGAAGAAAAATGAATAACTATCAAAATAAATCAGTAATTTTTCTAATTAGTATTTGATAATAATAATGCAAAGTTCGTAGTCTTTTACAGTTCTAACTATTATTAACTGAGAACGTTTTGTAATGTGTCTGTTTAGAGTAATTAAGTATAATCTTTTTTCATTCAATATAGGGAATAAGATTATTTAAAAAGTTTAAGCTCTAGTCAGTCATTGTTGTAAATAATAATACAATGACTCAGTAATTCAGCAATCTGATATATAAATATTGAGCTTCTGATTCGAATATTATCACACTATTTCAATGAAATATAGCTTTAATGCAGTTTCAGTGACAGAAGCTCACTTGTTCTTTATTTCCTTATAACTTTTGAGTTCCAAAACTAATACCAAACGACATTCTATTAGCTAATTTTATTTGTTTTAATCCAACAATATATTGTTTAATTAGCCACAGCTACTAATATTACAATTCGAGCCCCTAACTCCTTGTTTGTTTTTATGTTGAACGTTGTGATGACGTAACATATAACTGAATGCTTGCATAGTACATCCCATGGTTCAAACGACTGCTCTTCGTTATTTACTGAAATTGTACATCAAAAAACAAAGATTCTTCATATCAATTAAATAAAATTATTTAGAGTTGAATTATTGAATTCTATTTAGTTTTGAAGCTATGGATTGGCAACTGATTGATACAATGTCTGCATACCAGAAATCGGAAAACTTGACTTTAAGAATTACAAATAATTACTAGTTTTTCACAAGGCATTATAATTGATTTTATTTCAAAATTAAGATTATTATGACCATTACTATTATCATAATCATTGTGACTGCCGTTAATAAACAATGAAATTTAATCAAACAAAAAGCAAAAGGAACGTGAAAAAAAGCAAAACCTAACCTGGCAATTGACATTGACATTTTTCTAATAACATTTCTTGCATGCAGTCATGCATACAACTAGCCCAGATTGATTGACTTGTACAATGTTGTTTATAAATCTATAATACAAAAAATCAGACTTGGAAATGAAGAAACAATTTATTTGGAAAAATATTAAAAAACAAACCACACACAGATGATGCAACAAGGTATAAGGGAAATTTTGAAAATTACTAAAATGAAATTTTCAAAATTCCAATATAAAAAGTCTCTACAATCATTTGTTAAGCTAATACTAATAGCTTTCGTTCTGAAATTTTTCGATCGGACTAGAATAGAAGATAAAGCGACAATTAAAAAGACTGATCATGAGTTAAGCTTCACGAAATTATGATCTTCGAGCATCATTTTCACTTGTAAGTTTTAGGATGAAAAGGTATGGCAAAACATTTGATTTTAAAATTTTTCTTAACCCCAAGATTTTCAACTTCTTTACACAGAATGTTATATAATTAACAATCTTAATCCATATACATATGCTGAAATTTATAAATTTTTTAATTGTATTGACAAGCGGAAATGAGGAAAAAGTCATACAACATTACAAGTAGGTGGTATTACAATTAATATCGTTGCCATTACTTTGGTTTTAACTTTTTTCTTTACATCTATTTACACTAGAATTAATTTCTGAAGGGGAACTTTGTTTATATGATTTAATGTCGGTATTTTTGTTATTACCCTTATTATTATCATTGGCCATAGTTGCATTAATTCACTATGATCTACAGTAAGTAGCTAACAATAATAATATATATTTCAAAATAATAGAAACATATCATAGAATGTTTTGAATGATTTTAATTAAACCTAAAGAAAAAAGTATATATATATATATATGTATATATATATATATATATATATATATATATATATATATATAATTTCTTTAAGTGGATGAATTAGAGTAAACTAATTGTAATTTTCCTTGTTCTTTTAGGGCAAAATAGGAACGGGTAGTTTCTCTTGATTTATTATTTTTTCTTTAGGTTTAATTAAAATCATATATATATATATATATATATATATATATATATATACTATGATTAACCTATAAGCACTCGATTAACTTTACATTACAAATATAGTGTATGTCCATACTTGTATAATGTTGTAGTAAAACTTAAAACTTAAAAACAAGGAGGTTAAAAAAGTCCATAGAAATTGATATGAATGAACCGGAATTTAATTTCAATAGAATGTCAAAAGAATATTAGTGATTTTTAATTTATTTTTATTAAAAAGTCAGTCAACTTTACTAAAGAAATACATAGATTATATTTTCCTACATCTCTTTGCTCTTTTCATATAAAATCTAGTGTTGATGTAAGATTTAATGTTTACCTACATTTTTTTACTACTAGTAAGTATGTGTTTACTTACTGTATCTTACTGTAGTAATCTAGTGATATTTTTTCTCTGGTTTTATCCCATGTACAGGAAATCAGCTTATGTCTAATAGATTTCTACTAGATGTACAGATAGATATAAAAGAATCATAGTAGGCTTGTACAATATTGTATACACATAAACATATATTATGGTCAAAGAAATATGAATACGGGTATATACCTCTACCTTTTGTTGCATCCTGACGATATAAAGACAAGAAACAGATGCTATGGTAACAAAAAAATTAGTAGAGACAAAAATGAGTGTACTGGAATTCTCATACGTGTACGATAATTATATATATATATATATATATATATATATATATATATAACTTAAATTTTAAGTGTGATGATAATTAATTAACTAAGAAAAATAGGAATAATAACATATTCTTTTTTTATCCAGTTTTTTCTTCATTACAAATACATAATTTAATTTACAGCCTTTTGATGGAATATGAGTTTTAATTGTCTAATAGATTTTTCATTTAAATAACAGCTTGTAAAAGTAGTCAATTTAATATTCTCATTAAATTAATACACTCTTTATAGTTTCAACAGTATGAATGAAGCACAAATGGTAAAAACAATCAAAACCATACATTTCTAGATTATTGTCACTGCTTTAAATTATGTATTAATTTTATAGAAATAATAACAAAACAATGTAATGATAATACTTTCAAACTCAATTTAAATAAACCAATAATGCTATATACAAGCACAAAGTTACTTCTCACTACCCAACTTTACTACAATCAACTTTATAATTATTAACAGTGACTAAAAAATGGTATGATGTTGATATCAGTTATAGTCATTAAGTTTGACTATCTACCTTTAAAAATAATCGCCCACAAAATTATATTTGTATTTCCTTGATAATTCGCCTAACATATTACATCATTAAAAAGACTGAAAAGATTATTTTATAAAATGTAATAATATCACAGTAAAACTATAAATCATGAACAAATAACATATAATAAAAGAATGGTTCGTTTTAGTTCGACAGTCAGTATTTACTACGAACTCTGTAAATACTTGCATTAACGTTATTAAAAAGGATTTCAAACATCACTGAGAATGAAAACAAATGATATTATTCGAATGATGCGTCATTCCAAAATCCTGAATATTTTCACAAAGTATTCAGCAACTAAAATCAAATCGACACACTTTGACCTGTTCTTCCACCTATTTCCCTCCAAAGTTTATTTCCATCGTTGATATCATCTGTTCAAACTTCAATGTTTTGTCGCTCTTGGAGACCACAGAGCTTATCAGTTAGTTTGATATACATTTCCAGGCTTTGTACACTACAAAATAAACGTTCTGCAAAGCTTCAACAAGGATAGTTAATCACTTATATTATTCTGACACGATAAAACTGTAATATGTACTAAACTATGAAACAGTTTGACATAAACTGTTTCATGACTATTTTACACCAAATAATTCAGCAAATTCCAAAGTTAAATATGTTCCACCGTATTTGAGAAAGTGACGTAAATGGTAGCTATATTAATGCAGTTATAGTATCCCACATCTTCACAATCGTGTCAATAGATTTAGTTAAACAAATAATTTCTATATTTTAAACATCTCTTATACCAAAAGAAACCTGAAAGAATTTTTGTTACAAATGGTAGTACTATTTCCATCGACATAGTGAGATTAAACAGAGAACGAAATAAACGTCAGTAAATAATTCTGACTTTTGCTTGTAGTAAAACGAGAGGAGGAAAAGGCGAACAACAGGAACACATCGAAAAAAACACAGTTTATATATTTAGAAGAAATGGGATTTACAGAATATAATTTTATGCTAATAAGTGAATTCTTAGTTCTCCATAACTATTATTATTACTAGATGAGATAAATTCTTTTTTAGAGCATGTACATACCATACGCAAACTTCAAAACCTACATTTCATGAGACATTAGATAAACCATGACATACAAATCATTACATTCTATATATGACCACTAAATTTATAAATTATGCGGCAGACAGTATATTATGGAGTTCTTCATTTGTATGATGTTTCTTATTTTATTTTGAAGCAGTGCCTTATTCTCATCAAAAACAAAAAATATGATACTTAGTTTTAACAACACATATGTATAAGCGGGAATTAATCCACTAATAAATTTAGTGAAGTTTATGAAAAAAATGATTAATACGTCCAAAATCATGCTTTCAGATATTTTATACGAAATAAATATCCATGAATAACATTGTGACATTTTTAGATAACCGAAGGGACATTACAGATTTTAGAGTAAAATTTCACTGAGTTTCCTATTACACTATCACAATAACATTGTGAAAAATGATGTACTGTAAAAAGGGGAACAATGATCGTCTGAAAAAATATGTAACCAAACTTACCCTAAGAAGTTTTTCTTAAATTATTCTTATCATTGAAAACACGAGAAAAAAAACTTTAATCCAGCCTGTTTGGTGAGTGATGTTTATACAGGAGACTTAAAGATGGCGTACATATATATATATATATATATATATATATATATATATATAATCGTAATAGAAAACTACTGTTAACCTCAGCAACCCTAACAATTAAAAAAAGATTCCATTATGAATCCAACTTAGTCACAGGTTAATTCAAAACGAACTGCAACTGGACGTTAGTTTCACCATATTCTAAGACATATCAACTGTCAGAAATGAAAGTAGATGTTCACTAGTAATATTTAATGAAAATCACACAGTTGTTCAAATCGTTTAGTAGTATAAAAATTAAACTAGTGGTTAATTATTGACATAACATTCACGAAACCGTAGGATGATCGGTTTTATTTCCTAATTAAAGGTGGATGCTCACCAAATGAAAATTATGAACTAATGTAGAAGAAATATTTGCCTGATCTCAATGGCTGACAAGTTTGTAACAGTGAGTCTCGAATGTAAATTGTCCATTACTTTCCATCTTAGAGCTTCTTCTGTACTTACTTACTTACTCCTATTACCCCTCGTGGAGGAGTACAGACCGCTCATCAGCACTCTTCATTAAACTCTGTCCTGAACGATCCTTTCCAGTTCTTTCCAGTTCCTACTCATCCTTTTCTTGTCTGCTTCTATTTCCCGAGGTAATGTGTCCCTCGGCCTTCCTCTCTTCTGTTTCACTTCAGAATTCCGAGTTAGCGCTTGACTCGTGATGCACTTTGATGATTTCCGTAATGTATGTCCTATCCACTTCCAACGTGTTTTCCTGATTTCCTCTTCAGCTGGAAGCTGGTTTGTTCTCTCCCACAGAAAGCTGCTGCTGATGGTATCCGGCCAACGAATATTGAATATCTTGCGTAGACAACTGTTTATAAATACTTGTATCTTCTTGATGATGGTTGTGGTAGTTCTCCAAGTTTCAGCTCCGTACAGTAAAGCTGCCTTGACGTTCGTATTGAAAATTGTGACTTTGATATTGGTTGAAAGTTGTTGTGAGTTCCATATGTTCTTCAACTGTAGGAACGCGGCCCTTGCTTTGCCAATCCTCACCTTTACGTCTGCATCCGATCCTCCTTGTTCATCGATGATGCTGCCCAGATACGTGAGTGTTTCTACCTCTTGCAGAATCTCTCCGTCAGGTGTGATTGGGTAGATGTTTTCCGTGTCGTATTTAAGGATCTTGCTTTTCCGTTGTGTATGTTGAGGTCTACCAATACAGAGGCTGCTGATACATCATTTATCTTCATGTGCGTTTATTCGTGTGTGTGGGATAGGGGGTCAGGTCATCTGCGAAGTCCTAATCGTCTAATTGATGCTGAGCTACCCATTGTATTCCGTACTTTCCCTCAGATGTCGAGGTCTTCACAAACCAGTTTACCAGAAGAAGAAAGAGGAATGAGGAAGGTAAACAGCCTCCAGTCCTTACCTGGAATGCATCTATCACCTGTCCTCCATGCACTACTCTGCACTGTAGTCAGTCATATAAGTTCCAGATGATTTTGACAATCTTCTCGGGAACTCCATAGTGTCAAAGACGTTTCCATAATGATTTACTGTTCACACTGTCAAACGTCTTTTCATAGTTAAGGTATTTGATGTATAGTGACGAGTTCCAATCAAATGATTGTTCGACGATGATCAGTAGTGCCGCCATTTGGTTTGTGCACGACCGATCCTTACGAAATCAACCCGTTGATCTTAAAGTTGGGCGCCTACTGAGTCTTTCATCCGGTTCAGCAAAACTCTGTTGAAACAACCAATTTTTATAGGTACATGGAACTCTCGGACAATGTGGGAGACCGGGAAGACCAGCTTCTTCTGTGATATTCTAGAAATTAGGCCTTTGGGAGTCTATATTTGCTTACGCATATTTTCCACAATTGACCATTGACACTTTGAAACGAATCACGTACCTTGTTATATTTTACGGACAAACATCAAGATAAGTCATAATATATCTTTTAAAACATTTACCTGAAATGTAGTTGTATACAAATCAGAGAAACGATATTCAAAGTATCACGGTTGTCTGAAGCGACAGCTATTATTTTAGTTGAATAAACTGAATATATTATCACAAAATATTTAGAATTGTTCTGTAATTTCGCTAGAGGAATTTGCAGATACATATAAAACTAATGCATATGTTCCATCACAGCAGCTTAACACTCTAGAATATGCATCTAAGTAAGTTGGACCATATTGCTAAGATGACTAAATTTTTTCTTTTATTCAATATATGAATACTTTAGTTTGGAAAATCTGCCACCTATCAACCTTAAAAGTGGTTTATTAAATTTTTCCTACCTAAAAAAACTTGCTCCATACTTACTAAGAATTTCATAATAAATGACTCAAGTTAGCTAGACTTTCCTTTAGGCTAAAAAGAGAAAGTGGAAATATAATTTAAAATGTTGGTCAGTATGTTTCAGTAGTTAACTAACACCAAACATTAATACACGTTACTGTTTGCTAAAAATCCCTAGCTAATTTCAATAAAGCTATTGATAACATTTGGAATTATTGTCTTCATTCGACTAACTCAAAACCAAATACTGATTCTCATTTAGCATTTTCGTTTACTTTCAGTTTACTTCTTACTTTCACTTATCTTAAATGATAAATATACATGTTATTTTTTAGACAAATAGTATTTTATTTATAATACCATACATATCATTTAATAGAGAACACCTATACCAGTTATTTCTAATATTTTTTAAATTAATAATACCAGTAATTGTCATTTTGTTTTCAACCAAACTTATATGATTCTAATTTAGATTAATTGAATTATGACATATTATTACAGCAAAAAAGTAGATGGAATTAACTTAATCCATTAATCATTGGTTCATGAATTAAATAACTAATTGTTTTTTTACTTTGAAATCATTTATCGATCAATAAAGACTTATAAATATTATTGTTAAGCATTATAAAACTAAAGCAATTCTTATTTAGTAAGCAAGAAGAATAAAACATATAATTTGTACTTATAATATTTTTGTGGCTACATACTAGGATAACGTCTATTGCTTTATTGTCCCTTCTAAAATAAGTCAATTATTGTTAAACTATTTAAAAAGTACTAGGGAATTAAATAACAGTGACTGTTAACCATTTTTATATTATTTGTTTGAATATTTTTATTGATGTTCAGGATTGTGATTGATCAGTCTCTTATTGGTATAGGTATATCGTGTGTGAATCCGCTCGATATTGCCTAAATTCACATGCACTATATGCAAAGATGGATGGTGTCTATCTGGACTCAGTAGCTAAGTGGATAACGAGATGGCATTTGAAGAGAACAGTACTGGGTCCGAGTCCTGGAGAAGACATGAACTCTGGGATGGAGGTACATTCAACTGACAGGTTTCAAATAGAACGAAACGCGTGTTCTGGATCCCGATGCCAGCTACCATTAATCTCTGCTTATAATACCAGCGACCTTGTTTATTTCAATCAGATGTAGAATAATAGATAAAAATTTAAAATGTGAACATTTAACTTATTCTTACACAAAGATAAATAGATTATTGTGGAATAGACATTATTTTGAAACTATGATTTATTCACTATACAAAATTGATCTTTTACTTATATCTACAAATTTTATGAAAAAAATGCACAAAAATTATGCTCTTAGACCTAGCAGTAAACAGTATTAATGAGTATTATAAAGGTAATACTAAAGTGTGTAACTGTATTGTTCTTCATATTGTTTTGCCAAAAGTTACATTTCCTAATATTTTATATATCTCATAAATTTTTATAAGAATTTGAACGCCACCTGTTAAGCGATTTTAATATGAAATGAAGAATTTGAAAGTTTGTATTTTTAATACGTCACTTATCTGCTAAGATAGTTTATCATAAATAAGTTAATTATTTTCGCAACAAAATATCTCTGCAGAAAGATTTATCCTAGTCGAAGTTTTAGATGTTTTCTAATTTTACTCATACAGCTATTATCTTTATTAAATAGAATATTTATATATCTGGAAAGTAGCAAGATCATTCTAAAAACTTGTATTTGTTGATTTTTACAGTTAAAGTTGTTCTTCGAAACTAACTATTTCAAAAATGAACAGAAATGTATGGCTCAAGAAACCAAACATTCTGGAGTAATAAAATTTTTTAAATGGGATAATTTAAAAAGCATCGTAAAGATTAAGTACTATGAAAGATCTTACAATAATTAATCAATTATGTTCATAAAAATCTTAAAGCATCATGTAGTTTAATAAAACATTATTCACCTTTTTAAGGCCAACTGCACGTAACATAGTATGAAATGTTGGACCAGCATAAACAGCAGTTGGTATTAATGCCCATAAGGAATCACCATATCCATGTAACAAAATGCGAAAACCAATAAATCCTTGATTCGGTACCAAATAATCGTAACTTTGTGGATCTAACACTAATTGAATTTCGTCTATGCCTAAAGATTGAGAAATTAAAATTTTGTTACTAAAATAATGTTAAAAGACTAAGCATATAATGTATCATCCTTGATTGCTTTAGATGCATAGTTCTTGCCTTTAATATGTTTACAATTCAACGAAACAGATATATAAAAGTTGTCAAAAATGTAATCAAAGCAGCTGCAGAAATAATACATACTGAAAAGATTTTCAAAGCATTTCCTTAGAAAGAATTGATTGAAGATTACAGTGTAAGCAGATTAAAGAGTATTTGTAAAGTGAAAACAAGATTTTTTTGATAAATAATATCATTAAGTATCTCAACGTCATCACGTAGTCATCCTGTTTTTTTTATAGGCTTCAGAGTTTGAAGTAAATTACCTTTAACATATTCATGATGCGTGGCTCATTATGTTTTTTTGATGAACTTATAGCTTTACATGTTATTATGCTGTTTAACTTCATTAATCTTAAATCCTTATCTCAAAAAAACACTAAGTTTTATTACATTCTTATAAATGAGTGACATTATGTATCACATTTGCAAAGTAATTTTGCAATAGTTTGTTTGGTTTGAATTTTATTAATATTTATTATAAAATTAGTATTAACTGACAAATTATGTTCTCAAAGATCTAACTGTTTCATTTACTAAAATTTATTTAAGTGATACTTGTAAACGTAAATCGGGGAAACATATTCGTTCTAGAATAGTTCCGATAGTAAGTATTCGTCAAGTTTAACTCACTTATTTTGTACTAACAAGGATCGTGTTTTATAAAAAATAAAACTAATCATGTACAACACGACAATAGGTAGGATGGACACATTTATGGCGAGAAGTTACAAAGTATTTACATAATACAGATTCATAGCTTTCAATCGTCCATTCTCATCTTTTGGTGTGTTCTGCAACATAATCACATGAAAACATATTCTATTAATAAATGAGAAGTCATAAACCAATAGGTTTACGGAACTGTGTTTACAGCCAATAGTTACCGTTAACACTAGGTGACGATCATACTTCATTGTAAGTATGATGATGGTTTTCGCGAGCGGGATCTTGGATGAGTACTGCTAAGGAGGCCCGTACGGCCACCCAGTGCTTCCAGGTTTTCCATGGTGGTCTACTTTTAATCGACTCATGAACTCAACTATTAAATTCATTTAAATTTGCTCATTTGACGCAAGAGGAGTAACTGATTTATAGAAAGCAAAAGTCTCATGAATATTTGGCATACTAGGATTATTTACTAAATGTAAGTATTTAAGTAAGTTTGCATGGAGAATATTTGATTGACTTTAGAAAAATTCATGTTAGTCAGTAAAATACTGATTTCTGTTTAAAATAGTTCCTAACCAATAGCGAAACAATCCCAGAAAAATTACTTTACTTGATATTCTCCTGAAAATATCACTTATTACTTCTTTTTAACTAAAACATTGAACATCTATGACTGACTAGTTATTTTTGCATATAGACATTTTCTAAGCGTTGTTATTAGTTTTGACCATTCTTCAATATACAATTTGCAATATAGACATAGTGAAATAAAGTAGCTGTTGACATACACCTCCTTCAAAATCATTCATCTACAAAGTGATAAGGTCACTGTATAGTAAGCATTACTCAATTTAATAAAATCATAGTGTTTTGACTAAAAACTATCCTTCAATCCTATGGTGACAAGTATCATCTGAACTTGGAAATTTTTAAAGGAAAAAATACTTAGTAAATACAGCTTTAAGTAATTGTTATGTATTGATAATTTACAGTCTATCGATTACTGACCTCATTTTTGAGCGATAAATCCTTCAAAAATCTACCAAACTGGTTTTAACTTAGTGAACAGTTATGTTACTGATTCTTTGTTCTTATCAAACAGTATTTTAAGCACAAATCTAATTTTATCAAGCATATAAGTTGATATTTTTTCCTCCGCTATTATTTATCTTTATTACTTGAACTCAGATAATCAGGATGAACTAGGCACATTTGTGAAACACTGGTTTAAGGAAATAAGCAAACTATTAGAAGTACTAGTAGAGTCTAATATAGAACAAATGGAGGTAATGAGAAAAATCTATGGACTTGCCTATAGTATTTATAATAGTAGTAACTGTTGTGATCAATAACTCCGCCTGTAGCTCTTCCAGAGTTACTGCCGGTCCCAATCCCGGGTAAAGGAGGAGGGTTGGGCATGGGGTTAGCGTCCCCATCCCGTAGAAACCTAACTCGCTAAAAAAACGCTAACCAGAAAAAATAACTCAAACCATTTAAACTCTGCCCTGGGAGTTAGAGGTAATATGACGCTTCATGGTGAAAGCCGAGTTCCTTCGGAAGCCACGAGGCCGATGCCCCTTCTAACAACCAGAGAAACAATTTTTATAGGTACATGGAACGTCCGGACAATGTGGGAGACCGGGAAGGCCATTCAAATAGCAACGGAAATGAGGAGATACAACTTGGCAGTACTGGGAATCAGTGAAACCCATTGGACCCAATCTGGAAAACAAAGGCTAAATACGGGAGAGATGTTGCTATACTCCGGTCACGAAGAGGAAAATGCTCCACACACTCAGGGAGTTGCTCTAATGCTGTCCAAAGTAGCACAAAATGCACTTGTAGGATGGGAATCTCACGGATCCAGAATCATCAAAGCATCATTCAAAACAAAGAAGGACGGGATCACAATGAACATTATCCAATGTTATGCACCCACCAATGATAGCAACGACGACGTTAAAGATCAATTCTATGAGAGGCTGCAATCAATCATAGAGAAGTGCCCAAGAAAGGACCTCACCATTCTGATGGGAGATCTAAACGCCAAAGTCGGGATAGACAACACCGGATATGAAGATATCATGGGACTGCATGGACTGGGAGAGAGGAACGAAAACGGAGAAAGATTTGTAAATCTGCGTGCATTCAACAAATTGGTCATAGGCGGCACAATATTTCCATACAAACGTATACACAAAGCTACATGGATCTCACCGGACCACTCCGCAGAGAACCAGATAGATCATATTTGCATCAATAAAAAGTTCCGAAGAACAATGGAAGATGTGAGAACCAGGAGAGAAGCGGACATAGCTTCAGATCATCACCTGGTTGTGGCCAATTTAAAACTGAAGCTAAAGAAGAACTGGACAACTGGACAAACATCTCTGCAAAGATTCAATACAGCCTTCCTTCGAGATACTGACAAACTGAATGAATTCAAGATAGCTCTCAACAACAGGTTCCAAGCCCTACAGGATCTACTGAAGGAAGAAGAAACTACTATGGAGGATAACTGGAAAGATATCAAAGAAGCATTAATTTCAACGTGTCAAGAGGCTCTGGGCCCCAAGAAGCATCATCACAAGGAATGGATCTCTATAGAAACACGGAACAGGATCAAGGAAAGAAAGAACAAGAAGACAGCAATTAACAACAGCCGAACACGAGCAGAGAAAGTACAAGCGCAAGCTGGGTACATAGAAGCAAACAAGCAAGTGAAGAAGAGCATTAAAGCCGACAAGCACAAATACGTGGAAGAACTAGCAACGACGGTGGAGAAAGCTGCAAGAGAAGGAAATATGAAACAGCTTTATGATACAACGAAGAAACTAGCAGGGAAATATAGTAAACCAGAGAGACCAGTCAAAGACAAAGAAGGAAGACCAATCACTGAGATTCAACAACAGCGGAACAGATGGGCAGAGTACTTCGAGGAACTCCTGAATAGGCCGGCACCAATGAATCCACCGGACATCGAAGCAGCAAACACAGATCTCCCTATAGACGTCAATCCACCAACGACCGAAGAAATCAGAATGGCCGTCAGACAAATCAAGAGCGGGAAAGCAGCAGAACCTGACAATATACCAGCTGAAGCGTTGAAGTCAGACATCGAAGTAACTACAAGCATGCTTCATCTTCTATTCAAGAAGATTTGGGAGGAGGAACAAGTGCCGATGGGTTGGAAAGAAGTACACCTCATCAAGATTCCAAAGAAAGGAGATCTGAGCAAGTGTGAAAACTACAGAGGCATTACACTACTGTCAATACCAGGCAAAGTCTTCAACAGAGTGTTACTGAACAGGATGAAAGACGCAGTTGACGCTCAACTTCGAGATCAACAAGCTGGATTCCGTAAGGACCGGTCGTGCACAGACCAGATTGCGACACTACGGATCATCGTCGAACAATCAATCGAATGGAACTCGTCATTGTACATCAACTTCATTGATTATGAGAAGGCATTTGACAGTGTAAATAGGACGTTATGGAAAATTCTTCGACACTACGGAGTTCCTGAGAAGATTGTCAACATTATCCGGAACTCATACGATGGACTACAGTGCAAAGTAGTGCATGGAGGACAGCTGACTGACGCATTCCAAGTAAGGACCGGAGTAATACAAGGCTGTCTACTCTCTCCCTTCCTGTTTCTCCTGGTGGTCGACTGGATTATGAAGACCTCGACATCTGAGGGAAACCACGGCATACGATGGACAGCTCAGAACCAATTAGACGACTTGGACTTCGCAGATGACCTAGCCCTCCTATCCAATACACACGAACAAATGCAGATAAAGACAGCCAGCATAGCAGCAGTCTCTGCATCAGTAGGCCTCAACATACACAAAGGGAAAACCAAGGTCCTCAAACACAACACAGAGAACAGCAATCCAATCACTCTTGATGGCGAAACTCTGGAAGATGTGGAATCCTTCACATACCTGGGAAGCATCGTCGATAAACAAGGAGGCTCAGATGCAGACGTCAAGGCGAGGATTGGCAAAGCTAGAGCGGCATTCCTTCAACTGAAGAACATATGGAACTCAAAACAACTTTCAACCAATATCAAAGTCACAATCTTCAATACCAACGTCAAGGCAGTTCTACTGTACGGAGCTGAAACTTGGAGAACTACAACAACCACCATCAAGAAGGTACAGGTATTTATTAATAGCTGTCTACGCAAGATACTCAACATCCATTGGCCGGATACCATCAGCAACAGCCTTTTGTGGGAGAGAACTAACCAGCTTCCAGCTGAAGAGGAAATTAGGAAAACACGTTGGAAATGGATAGGACATACATTGAGGAAATCATCAAACTGGATTACGAGACAAGCGCTAACTTTGAATCCTGAAGGGAAGAGGAAAAGAGGAAGGCCAAAGAACACATTACGTCGGGAAATAGAAGCAGATATGAAAAGGATGAATAAGAACTGGAAAGAGCTGGAAAGGATTGCCCAGGACAGGGTTGGATGGAGAATTCTGGTGAGCGGCCTATGCTCCTTCACGAGGAGTAACAGGCGTAAGTAAGTAAGTAAGTATTGTGATCAATGGATGAACTACAAATTTGTTGCAATTTACTGTTTAGTAAAAGAGAGATTTCAAAACCTGTTGATGATATCACATCGTTTGATTGAGACCAGGTGAACAGTGCTCTACAAGACAAAACGTCTTAGGTTTTCACAGTTACTATTGGAGCATTGTCGTAATTTGTTTAACGGAACTAGTAAAACGTTTGTTGGGTGTTGTTATACTAACTGATGTTTTGTGGATTTCTTTTTGCAAATCAATAATCGAAAATAAAACAAATACAAATAATTGATAGGAAACCGCTCAAGCTGTACCGATTATCCATATATTTAGTTTATGTAATTATTCCCAATGTTAACTTGTACATTGTTTAGTCCTTTGTGTTATTAAAAGAACTGGTCATAAGGGCGAACACAAAATTGTCTAATTTGCAACAAGTAGCTGAATAATTTGACATTAAACGATGATAAATGATTAGTACATTATTTATTCTGAACTTTGTGCAACAATTTCAACGACTGGTTTGTTCATTTCATGCTGATGACCTGGATAATAGTCATGTAAAATGGACTGTACACTGACGAAGATAATTAGAAAATTTATTAGGATACCAATTTTACAAACCATATGAAGGTAAATATGTTCAGCTAGGTTGGATGCTGTAAATCTGTTTAGTGAGTTTGGTCTATTAAGCTTTTTTACATAAATGGCCTATACTTTTGTATGAAGATCATTATGTAAATGAACAATGAGACATCCCTGTCTTTAAGTTTTGTTACGGTTTATAAAGTGATTTCAGTTCAATAGTTAATCATCTTCATAAGAAATGGGTGTCTTTTAGTTACTTCATACCATTATTTATCAAATTTGCCTAATGTTTCTTAGAGCATTACGTTCATTGAATAAACAGTATACGTATGTTATTCAGGCTAATCAATACAAACAAATACCTAATGGTCATCAATCATTATTATAAATTTTGATACACTGTTCTATTGAAATTATAGAACTCAAAGGCAAATAAACTTATTCCTTACTACTGCTTAATCATTTTTCTTCCCAAAAAAGTAACTTTTAGATGTTAGTGTTTTTTAACCGATTACCTAATTTTACTAACAAAATTAATTTAGTTACAACATTTGCAAGCGATATAAATTTATAATAAAATAATGTAAAGTAGTTTGTTTTGTTCGTACTATATGCGATGAAATTATGTTCCAGTTCTACGCACAATTTGTTGTAGGAAATATTGTTAAGATCGGCGAAATGGCATAATTTGACTGATCTTATCAATCTATTTTTCGATAGTTAAAAAATAATCTTGCAGTCAAAAATGCCTTACGCAAATCATCTTGGTATTAATCGGTAATAATTTGATTTATTAACGTTATAATATAAAAATGATTCTCTACTCATGCTTATTTTTCGAAGAACCATAAATAACTAAACAGCCATAATCACGACAAACTCTAGTATCCCTTCGTATTTTTCCTCGAAGAGTTGTGCTTATAATCTAATTACGCAGTTTTCTGTACCAATATTAGTATATTTATTTTAATACCTAATTATTTGTTTAACTATATCAACAGAAAAGTTACGCAATAAATCATGCTGCATAGATCATGTTCTGCTGTCGGAACTGTGATATATTTCTAGTCTTTGCAGTTTTAAAATATTATCACTTTTCATATAAAAGGTAGACTATTCACTATAAATAAATATTCAAAATACTCCATAATCCAACAGTAATAAAAATTCTAGTCGCACAAACTTAATAATGATTAAAATATGTACTAGCTTCACACAAATAAAACAGAACCAGTAATATTAGTTCTATCAGATCGAGCTATTAATCTGTATTTTTATTGTCGATACAGACTACAACAATTTGTTCTCATCTTTAGCACCTTCTTTGTGAAAATTAAATTTTATAATTATTTTTAAATTTTTTTATCGTTCACTTCGTTTCATTATTCAATGCCATCTATTCGATCTGATGTAATGTATAATGAATGCGAGATTCTAAATGATTTATCGATAGTCTAATTCATAAATAAGTAAATAAATAGATGCATAAGTCCGTCTATTAGTAATAATAATTATTATTATTATCTTTATTGTACAATTTTAAATAAAGCTAAAAATTTTCAACAATAATTGAATTTTTATCGTTGTTGCATAATGATTAAAATTCTTCACAAGAATGTTTTCTCAAACTTTATCAGTCTTTTTACCTACGAAAAACAACTTCTTTAATAATATCATTATTGCTCTAGGCATATTTTTGGAAATGAATAAATTCCATCAGTGCATTTTAGGTAAAAACTGACTAATCAAGTGTTTCACTGTAGCTAAATTGTTTAGAATTAATGTTTACAGAAAGGAATATTACCATTATAGTTAGTAGATTTCTGTGACTGAAAACTATTACTAACTACTGCTGTATGCTTAATTTCACGAAGTCAACGTTTAACTAAGAGGCTAACAACAGCATTGAAAAATTACATTAATTCTAGTCCTATATTAAAAATGATAGTTGTTTGTGCATATTGGTAAAGATAGTGCTTTTTAATAAGTATATAAAAGAAGAAGGAAATTTTTAACAAATTCTCTCTTGGTATGTATAGTAAATATCATGTAGACATGCATTAGTACTCTATATCCCTGAATTTGGTAATTATTTTTCAGGTTTTCAATTGAAAATAATAATAGTTCTTTACGGAGGATAAATATAGTGTGGGTGAAAAATAATGATTGATCATAAACAGAGAATTTCAGTAACCTTATCAATGCTGATCATACGTTTGTATGAAATTAGGTACAGAAATTTGAAAGCACACTTTTATTCTTGCTTTCTAAAACTAATTAAAGACAACCAAATGGCTATTTAAATGTCTTGTGAATACATGTAAACTATAGGGAGCAAAATTTTAATCATGTGAAAGTGAATACTAGGAAGTGATAATTCTCGTGTTAACTTACCAGTTAAATCGCCAGCTAATGTATAACAAGCTCCATTCGGTAGAACACTCTTTGTAAAATTCAGTACGGAACAATGTCTTTGGCCAACTTTACAGCTAATGAAAACGATAATATACATCAACTTTATAAATGCTTATTTATGTAACAACTTTTAATAATAGAAAAACGTATATGAACAGCATCCAAGTGAACAAATACTTTATACAAGATTATTCTGAGAGTGTTGAAAAAAGAGATTATCAAGATTTAGGTTTTTTTAAATAACCTTTAGTTTAAAAATCATTATTTTATTTTGATTGAAATCATGAATCCATCAATGTTAGACCACCGTTGAAAACCTGAAAGCACTGGACGACAATGCAAGATGGTAGCTCAATATCGTGGATTAGTTGGAGTTAAACATTAACACCAATGGATCCCGGCTTAGTGGTCTAGGTGTTAGGCCTTCACGTGTGAGACCGAAGGCTCTGAGTTCGAGCCCCGCCAGCGGCATCGTGGATTTTGTTAAACAATTTAAAGCAACTAGTCATTTTGATAACTCTCGATAATGCAATGAGAAGACGAAGGTTTTCAGGTTTATGTAGTATATTTAAGCAATACCTTCCGAACAATCTGATTACACATAGACTTGTTAAGACATTTTTATTTGAAAAATGAAAGGTCAACCAGACAAACTAAAAGCTAGGTGGAAACAAAGAATAATAATGTACATAAAAACAATGTAAAAAACAATGCTGGATAATGAATCAGTATTGCCAGGGTAGGTTAAGAGTAAGAACAAATTATTCTCAAACTCATCAAGGGAGGTTTCAGTTCGGTATAGCCAAGACTTCAATAAATCTTAGCATACACCTTTGAAAGCTTTGTACAAAACTACAAAGGTTGGCTTGATATCAACCTTATGACCTGTCTCAACCAAATGTCTCACAATAAAGGAAGATATTTGTCTATCCTATGGTCTTACTTGATCATTTGAATTCATTTGTTTTTACAGCCATCTAGGTATGTGTTCAGCCACCCTTACTTGCAGAGCAAGATCGCTCCCCTCTATGTACGCACATATATGTAAATTTATAGACACAGTGGGATGTAACACAATCCCTTACGTTCTGTTTGGGTTTTCGCTGAAACATAGACCTTGCTTTTTGAATAATGACCAGTTGGGTTGCATAAAATGTCCTATTGATGGCTAATTTAAATCTCCATTTCAACACGAGGCTATGCGAGTCAAATATATTACACAATTCTAATAACCTTCGTCTCGTCATTGCATTATCGCAACTTAAAATTTTGATCTGAGGTAATTAAAACCGATCTATACACACTTAAGACTGAAAAACTTAATTCGATCCAAAATTTCAGTGTGTTAACAAAAAAATGAATAATTGCGAGCACTTTACCGGAACATAATGATACACAGCATTGAATTTTTCATTTTGTAATACTAGTAAAGCCTGAGAATTTCGGATTCATAGAGATTCTAAGTATTTTTTGTTAAGTATGGCCGCGGGAATAAAAAATAAACACAGAACTGCATGCATGAAAGCTCAAAACTCCAGACAACTTAAAACATGTAAATAAGAATTCCTTTTTAGTGCTATTTGATATATACAATGCAAAATGTCTTACAAAATATCCGTTTAGATTTTGTAGTTAAGATTGTCTCGACGGTTATCGCTAAACTAGCATATATACCGCAGTTTAAAGTGAATTATAATAAATGTATATATATACACGGATAAGAAATATGGCCGAGTTAAAAAAATTACCGACACAAACCATATGTATCATCTCAAAAAACCATTAACACGGACATACACAAACACTCCAAAATCGATTCGGCGGGTGGATAAAACACTAATAACCAAATTGTTTACCCTATTTCATGTCTACGACTTCCTGCAAAACAAAATTTTCCATGTATCTGAATAGTATGAGAACACAGTAATCCCTTAAACATTTATGTTTTATTTTAATATGGTACTTTTTGTAGTATTAGTTGTGTTTAAATACTGTAATCTTTCAAAGTTTTTTCCTATAACTCAAAAATGATATTAACTAAAAAAGTATGATTATTAGCATTATAATCATACTATTGCTTCACAGTCAATGACTGAAGTTCGTTGAATAACAGACAAAGTGCTCCACATTCTTCCTTCCCTATATGCTTTCAGCGGAGATAAAATTTTACAATACTAAACTTTTGATGCCCAGAGTTAGATCATTTGATTCAGAGAACAAGTGTAACGTGTTATCATTTTAGAAATCAAATAAATATTCCTTTAGAATAGAAGGAATTATTAAAATAGGATTTCAAAACCATTATTGAATACGTATATGGATATGTATATGTGTATATTCACTTGTTTTGAAGTAGAATTCAATTGTCTGAAGTCATAGAAATCGTTCAAATCCTTCAGAAAAGTAATTTCATAAAACAGGTGAAAAATACAAAAACAAAACTTAATTAGTCTTGACAATAACCAAGTCAAATTTCCTTCCTTAAATGATGTAGGTCATGTTGTTCTAATGAATAAATTTTCATTTCATTCCCTTCAAATCAAGTCGCATATTTAACTCATTTTATTACCTATTATTAATACCTTGGCCACAATTTTTTTTAATAGTCAAAATATATTTTGATTTCCGAACATATATTATAGCAAGTCAAGAAGCAACGCTAATGCGAATTTGAAGATTTATCAAACCACCTAAATGTCATTATATTGGTTCATGGGTATATTAAATTATGTGATCAAAACCCTTTAAAAGGAAAATAATAAATAAAGCTCTTCCGAAACAGTGACCAGTGATATTTATTTTTAATGCTGTCTGTAGCTTTTTTCTCATTACATATGTTGTTCTTGGCTTCATTAACTTGTATTCTAACTATGATGCTATAGATCTTTAATTTTTATAATGTGATAACTTTGAAAGTGTTAATACACCATTGTTATATAATTTTAACGTGTCCCAAAAGAGTTACAAAATATAATTATTAGTACTTTATACGATGAATTGTCATCTAAATTAGCTAGAAAAGTTTGATTTTATCCATTGGAAAGACGGCTTATTTATAATTAGTATCACTTTGCCTTGGAAAATACCACCAATATATTTTCACCAAAACAATAATTTAACTGAAACTTTGTTGATACACTTTCGCTCAAGATGTGTATTCTTCCTGTAAAAAGTGAATAATTCAATGTTATCCTGGTTATTTTTCCAGATTGTCTGCTTGCGGAAATTTTGTGGAAAATAAAATATTATAGAGCACCTTGTCACTGGTTAAGTGAAGACTAAGTATCATTTTCTCTAATCTTCTCATTTTACTCACATTCAGGTAACGACAAGTAACACTGAAGTCCCCTACTTATGTATTTATGAAATTTGAACAAAATGAAAACAAGATAGTTTGAACAATAAGATAAATCGACTCTACATTACAAAGTTTCTGAACGGTCAGAAATAGTTTAAAACTACGATAACTGGTATAGTTGAAAACAAAGGTCTGACATATTTTGACAACTGTTTTGTAGTGAAAGAAGTTTTCTTGTACCTTAAATGGTTTCATTATTTAACATTAAATGCTGGTGGAGAAGATTTGTAGCTCAGGTGGATGATTTTGATGGAGTTTTGTTCTCTGAGCTGGATGGTTTGGTCGTGGAGCTTTCATCGTTCTTCTGAACGACATCATCAGCACAAACTTCAGATAGAAGTGAAGTGTTCGAATTTCTCCATATGTGTTTCACAGCTTGTTCTGTGCACCTCGATGTTGATTGGTTCTTATTGACCTTAAATTTGTCATTGTTTACTTTTTTGTTTTTATTTTGTCCCCTATTGGTTTGATTCTTGTTCCTATATTCGTGCATAAGTTTCCTGATTGGTTGATAAATCAGATCAATTTCAATATGTTTGTTGATTGCTGATTGACCTGAGTGCCAAGCTTCTAAGAATTCTCTTGTGTTTTTAGAGTTTCCTCTGTCCAAGATTTCCACATTTTTCCAATCGAATGTGTGTCCACAGTTGTCCACGTGTATTGATATAAGTGAGGAGATATCATGCCGTTTGACTGTTAATTGATGTTCATGTAGGCGCAGGTGAAGGGGGCGTCCGCTTTGTCCGATGTAGTGTTTGTCGCAGTTGACACAATTTATTTTGTAGATGATGTTTGATTTATCTTCTTTTGTTATTTTATCCTTTGGTTTGCATAGAATTGACTGTAGTGATTTTGTCGGTTTGTGTGCCACACCTATTCCGAAGGTTTTTAGCAGTCTTGTTGCGGTCTCTGATATGCCATTTATGTATGGTAGTGTGATCCGTTTGTCAATTTCTGTGCTTGATTTGTGTTCTGATGCTGCATGTGGTTGGTATTTTTTGATGAAGTTGATTGGGTAGCCATTCTTTTGAAATACGTCCTTCAGGTATTTCTCTTCCTTTCTTCGTGCTGCCAGTGTGCTGCAGTGTGTCCTCGCCCTCTTGAACAAAGTTTGTACGCAGTTGATTTTATGAGCACATAAAATCAACTGCGTACAAACTTTGTTCAAGAGGGCGAGGACACACTGCAGCACACTGGCAGCACGAAGAAAGGAAGAGAAATACCTGAAGGACGTATTTCAAAAGAATGGCTACCCAATCAACTTCATCAAAAAATACCAACCACATGCAGCATCAGAACACAAATCAAGCACAGAAATTGACAAACGGATCACACTACCATACATAAATGGCATATCAGAGACCGCAACAAGACTGCTAAAAACCTTCGGAATAGGTGTGGCACACAAACCGACAAAATCACTACAGTCAATTCTATGCAAACCAAAGGATAAAATAACAAAAGAAGATAAATCAAACATCATCTACAAAATAAATTGTGTCAACTGCGACAAACACTACATCGGACAAAGCGGACGCCCCCTTCACCTGCGCCTACATGAACATCAATTAGCAGTCAAACGGCATGATATCTCCTCACTTATATCAATACACGTGGACAACTGTGGACACACATTCGATTGGAAAAATGTGGAAATCTTGGACAGAGGAAACTCTAAAAACACAAGAGAATTCTTAGAAGCTTGGCACTCAGGTCAATCAGCAATCAACAAACATATTGAAATTGATCCGATTTATCAACCAATCAGGAAACTTATGCACGAATATAGGAACAAGAATCAAACCAATAGGGGACAAATTAAAACAAAAAAGTAAACAATGACAAATTTAAGGTCAATAAGAACCAATCAACATCGAGGTGCACAGAACAAGCTGTGAAACACATATGGAGAAATTCGAACACTTCACTTCTATCTGAAGTTTGTGCTGATGATGTCGTTCAGAAGAACGATGAAAGCTCCACGACCAAACCATCCAGCTCAGAGAACAAAACTCCATCAAAAACATTAAATGCTGTTTGAACCGTCAGTAACAACACGATTATGCCTCAAATATCACTTGCAGCTTCGCTTATGAGATTCGGGAGATGAAGTGACAGAAGAGTTTTTTTAATTCTTTATCAGTGATGATGTTTTCACTGTGTTCACATTTATCAAGGAAACCAAGTGCATGGAAGCATAAATAATAAACTTTACACTAATTTGAACTGACTTGCTCCAATTTAAGATTCCGTCATCGAAATAAACAAATTGCTGTAAATAAACTTTGGATAGATAAAGTCAATGCGGAAAAAGTACGAATGAGTGCACGAAAATCTAACATTGAATGTTATAAGTCGAAACGATCACGAAACTAAATTTTTGGGATGATTAAGCCTAAGATTTTTAAATCATAATGGTTTATTAAATAAAACACGGTTGATTAAAGAGGAGTCTGACTTAACCATAGGACTGAACTAAAAAACCACTACAGTTCAGTTTGTTGAACCACTCATCAAAAACATTCTGACATGGTCATCTACCAGAAAACGTTTATAATAAATAAAACTCTTTAAGGTCTAGTGTATATCACATGAAATAATTACAATGAATAATAATGCCAAAATTTGTGTTCCATAGTACATATTATACATACGATACCGTCAATAATTATCGTATATTTGGGAATCAGAAAGTTGATTACAGTAGAGGACACTCATCTATTGGCTATCGTTTATACTTCAGTATAATTTACCTTCTTAACATTTGATCTATCTGATGAGATGCTTTCTCCATGAGCTTGAAAATTGACATTTTAAGTTTGCTTTCCGGGAGATTTTCACTTGGACGTCCTTGAAAAGCATCTGAGAAAATTTCATAATCAACACCACGATCCTGAGACTCAGTTGACTGAATATTGTACAGTTTAGTTCCCCTTAATTAAAAAGAAGTAATTTGATGTCAAAAAAACACATTATAACATTTTTTACAAAACCCAGTTTATGCATTATGTTTACGAAAAAGTTAGCATTTAAGGGTGAGTAAATTCTATAATCCAAAATTTCATAAAATACTTGATAAACAACCAAGCAGCCATTGTTGTAGTTTTAAATAAGTCTTGCAATTAGATCATCAGCAGTACAATAATCATAAATCCTATTTTAGGATACATAAGTTTTACATGCTTGTGACTTGACTGTTACACACTTACGAAACCAGTCATCACCAATTCATTTGTAGAAGCTATCAAAACATTTGCGATGCGTCGTCTTATTAGAGAGCACATGAAAAATTAATGTGCCGATCTAGTATGCGGATGTAATCCCCATTTCTTCGGTACCGAGCGTAAAGTAAAATTAGAAGTTTGTCCGACTTTGATCGGCTTTTCTTGCAATATTAAAAATAATTTATCCTTCCACAAACATAAGGCAACATATTCACTGAAAATACAGTTCTAAAAACGGTCAATGTATCAATGGTAACTCATTACTTCATATCACTCCAAAAACCCGATGAACTACATTTATAACCTTTTAATAAGTGGTCATGCTTTCATCCATATCAGTCAGTTAGAAACAACGTACAACTTGGTACGTACGTACATCAGTTCAAGTTGCCATAACACATTATCACAGCGATACAACTGTCAATTCAAACCCCGTAGTGGTAAAGGTAGTAAGAGTATAAGCGGTGATCGGAAACACTAGGTCTTGAAGATGTTATTCAAGGAGTATAACCCAGTGAAATAAGTTTAGAAAGAAAAAAAAGACAATGAGAACTCAGAAGATTAGAGTTTGAGAGAACACAGAGAGTGGATGCACCTGAGCCATTGCAAACGATTTTGAGCCATGTCATTCAAGGTCTCTAACCATCGGTTGCTATCATCTCGCGGACCCTAACCAAGTAATCTACATCTACCAACATGCCTCAGTCCACTTGTCAGTGACTTCATGAATTTGTGCCATGTTTTGGTCTGGCCGCGTCCAGCTTTCTCCTAACCTACTATTACACCATAAAACATCGCACGTCGGGGCAGTCGGTGGTCGGGCATGCGCAACACATGTCCCAGCCATCTCAACTGATGATGTTTCACTACATAGTCAATTGATTTGCTATCATTACCTAGTATCCGTTTCCTAACAACTGAGTTACTTACTCGGTGGTCCCAGGATATACGAGCAATGCTTCGGAGACACCTATGATCAAATACTAGTAACCTACGAATGTCCTCTACTCTTGCCGGTCATGTTTCACTGCTATAAAGTAGGACGGAATGAACTGCTGCGCAGTAAACCCGTTCTTTGGTTAGTAGATGGATATCTCGCCTACCCTATAAATGAGGCAAGTTGGCAAAGCTAATCCAGTCTTCTGTATTCGTGTTGAGACTTCGTCACACACCAGACCACAAAGGCTAATGAAACTCTCAAGACAAGTCAAGCAGTCGACAGGCTCAACTACTTCACTCCCTATCATTAACTCAGGTGTCGATACAACCCGCGGCAAAAAATCGCACCCCGAACATACTTGCATTGTTGCTTACCGTGGTCAGCAGACTCTGCATTTTGTCAGCATCTTCACCAAATAGAACTATGTCATTGGCATATCCTAAGTCAACAAGTGAATCTTCCGGTAAAAGTTCAACTCCTGGAAAGTTAGATGAGGAAAGTGTCATCTCTAAAAGCACTTCAAATACAAAGTTACACAAGAATGGAGAGAGCGGACTGCTCTGGAGAACACCATTTGAGGTAGTAAATTCTGAGGACAGTTCACCATAAGCTCTCACTTGACCTATTGAGTTTAAGTAGAGAGCCTGTATAAGGTCAATGTACTTCTTTGGTACTCCTTTCAGTGCCCAGCACCGCCATAGAACCTCACGATCATTCATATAGTTCCACGTTTAAGCTTTGCAAATTATTCCGGTCAGTTATTTTCAGTGCTTAATAACTACAAAATTGGGTCTTATAAGAATTGTTTTGCTTTGCTGTCAAAAGTGCTGCAAAGTTTTACATTTCACGACTGATCTATAAATATTTCTAGCACTCAGATACCAAAAAGAATAATTATGTCCATTATTTTCACCGTATTCTTGCTTCTTATGTGATGTTAGAGTGTTTCTTTGTAAACTTAAGAGAGGTTTAATATTTTCTACCAGTTTTTGAGAACAATTAAAAACCATTTAGTTTCGAGTATTATTTAAATGTGAAGCAACTTCTGTGTAGAGTTTATTCAAATCGCTCATTTAAATCTCAAATTATCTTATGGTATGTGCAGAAACAAATCCACTTACCTTGCTGGATTAATATTACAGATACTGATCAAAGGAAATGGCAAATTACTTTGATGATCATCATAAGCTGAAATAATCATTTTTGATGCCAAACTGTCGTAATGCTTTAACCAAACATGTACTCGATAAGTGATCAAGCAAGCTACTGATATGCACAGCAAAAGACAAATCAGTCTAATTGAAAAAAAAATAAAATATTTCATTTACTATGAAGTGCAACATCAAAGCACTTGTCTCGAGTAATTTTATAATGTCCACATAGAATTTGGAGTTAACGGAATATAAATAAAAAACTCATGGGCCATTGTTTCAAGTGTCATTTACATTAGATTCCCATGAGCACATTGCCTATGCAATATTATTAATAAAATCTGAACTGTTACGATTATTGTTTCAGGTATCGGTAATCTATTGAAATACTCTGGATGTTTGTAGACCTAAACCAACTTTTGTTAGTGCAAAAAGAAGTCCATTGAACAATCACAATGAGAAGACCTTCTAGTTATTAACATAACTGCCTTTAGCCGAAAAATAATAAATATTACTGTCTGGTGCCTTGATATAACTCCGTATAGTCAGTAATTCGTACACATTTCAATGACATTAACCGAATTCTATCTGTTTTAGTTCCAGTGTACTACCACGTCTATGTATCGCCTATGGATTTCACCATCAATTTCAAAAATAACAGCTTTCAGCATCTTGAATTCAGTTTTTTTCTTGAAAAACGTCTGCAGATCACTCACACAAACTAATAATAAATATAATAATCAGTTAATAAACAAAGTCCTTCTTGGACTGCTTATTCACACTGGTAAAAAAACTACTCTACACAACCGTATGGACAATACATCGGCTGAATTAATTAACGTATCATGTATTTTACTTTATTTTACATTACCATTATCGATTTTGCATGTTATTGTATAAGAGATAACAAAAATTATTTAGGCAACAAATTTTAAGATACTTATTTGCAGAATCAATGTAAACATTGAAACATTCAATAAGATCACCCATCATTTAAGATTACGTTTCCACATAAAAACGGAAAAATTATATCCTGGAGCATAAAATAAGCAATGCTTAAAAATGAGTCAAAGGTAATTTAGATTTGTCATAAACAGTCATTAAAATTATTACTATTTGATCTTTTTAAAGTATAAATAAACGAATAAGCTGAAAAGGTCATCGGAGACAATCCTAAAAATTACTTCTTAGCTCCAACTGACGTCCACTTGGGAGAGCAGTGAATATTCATCATATACATTAAAACACGCGCAAATATCAGTGAAAGTACATATGAAACAATTGTTCTAAACAATCAAAACTGGACCAGGCAAACTAAACGCTCAGAAAGATAAATTACTTAAAAATACAACGTCGACATATAATCACTCAACCAATTAAATGCTAAACGAATTCGGCCGCTAACATTGAGCTGATATTTCACCAAGTTTTGGGAACTTCATCTGGAAAATATGAAATGTTTTAGACATGGATCCTTTGGAAAACTGAGGTTGAACAATATAATTTGCTATTCATGACTAAATACAAAGTAGCTAGCCTAATTTCTGTTCATATAGATACGATCTTTTTGAAAGACACCTAGGTAATTATCAAAAGATAAATTTCGATCCTTGTAAAAGGCCTAACATGTTTTTGTGAACTGTCGTAGATGGCTTCCTCTCAGCAGCGTAATTTGGGGACATGGAATTTATCTGTTTTAGACGAACATAGTTCTCAAAACTCCACAGTGCAATCTCATTTCAATTGAAAAAGCTGAGATCAGGTCCCTGTTTTGATTGCTCATCTGTAAAATCATTTGAATATTGATTTCTCCCACTACTTTGTAAAACACAATGATCTTTTAGTTCTTCTAATGTAACAGCGATTACGATAGTCTAACCACTCAACACATCATAAGAATCCATAACTGAAGTAGAGTTGCCAGTTTCTATGTACATGATTTGGGTATAGTCATGTAGCGGTAAATAAATCCCCAAATTAAATAGCTCTGTAAGTTTTCGACATTAAATGCTAACCACAGTTTTAGTGGACTCATCTATCTGAAGGCGCTCGGTCAAGCATCTTCACCAAATCACGTGTGGGAACGCCGTGCTCAACATCTGCCGCAATTGCTAGCCAGATTAGTTCAAACGATCCTCGATATATTGATAGCTTATCAAATATATCTTTGATCTCCTCGCTTCTGTCTTTTGATTTCACTTGGTGAGTACGCTTCATATTAGAAGGTGCTACTGGTTAAAGCGTTGTCAAACTTCAAATACCTGCGGCACCTTCAGACAGCTAGCTATTTGGATTGAGAAAACGAAAATTTAGAAAGGCATATAAAGAATTTCGGTTTAATAGTTGGAACATTATTTTACTTTTTCAGTGCTAAAAGTGAACCTTTGATTTCCTACTTCGATTTTTTTTAAATGATTATATCATTCAGTGACGTGCTATGTCGCGATAAAATTCGACCCTTATTTTTCGTCCTTTAAGATAAACACGTGTTTTCCGGTTGTTACGAGCATGGCTAAAGCCGGGCTTTAGCAATGTTCCAAAAGTGTGTCGCTCTTATTTGGGAGATTCGCATTTTAGGAACTCATCGTTAGCGATCTTTAAAACAGAAATTGTTGGAATTTGATGCATAACAAAAAAGGTAGAGCTCATATGAATCAGCAACTGCCTACTTGAATAAATAGGCTTGGGCGATGGCATTTTAACCACCTTCTATTAACTGAGTATCGACCATTAAAATCCTACATCCTCGTTTTTGTTTAGGACAATACAGTACCTTAAAAAATCTCAACACAAACAGTCAAGGCTGTGTTTACAAATTTCTATGAACCTCACTAACTGAATTTAAATGGACATCCGTGCCTTTTTGGCATATTGTTAGCTATATGAGACTTTGATAGCTGCAAGAACGATAACCATTCATGGGCCAATAGTTAAAGCTTCCAAACTGTAGGCTGAATAAATTAGATTTGTGAAGGGATAAAAAATAGATAACAATCGAATCCTATCCAAAGTCTCAGAAAAGCTTGATGTAACTAATTGAATAATAATAAAACGTTTCAAAGAACTATACAACCGATCACCTTTTTCCTGATTATTTGCTTCAGAACGTGTCCTGTCAGAGAACAGGAACTAACTAGTAAGTTCAATTTTTGAAGTCACTACAAATACAAATAAAACAAACATATCATTTTTCAGATTTTTATTCCCTAATAAAATATTTGGTCCCATGTTTCTCATGGCAAATTTGGGAATCATAGAATAAAGCAACACTAACAAAGTGGTTTTTTGTGACTTTCTTATAGTAAAAAACGTTTTCGAATATTCACTAAGCTATATTCACTGCGAAAGTAGCACCCGTCTAAAAGTACTCCGTTCACTGTATGTAACTGTTCACATTCGAATATTCTCTTGCAATCATTCGCTATTCTTGACAGGTGATTTAGCTCTGCGAAGAGCTCATCAGTAAAATTAATGACCATAATACTAACAGAAAGATCTTTGTAGATGTTCACATGAGTCGGACCAAGAGCTTACCTGATCATGATCAAGATCGTGAATAATAATTTTGGAGTCACATACACTGTCCAAACGATGGAGATTTATTTGCTTAATAATATCTTGTTACGTTCACTACTTTATTAACACAGAATATGGGTTACGACAACGACACTCGAACGTCAGAACTTTACCGTCGCAAACCAGAACACAGAAGTAAAGCCGGAGATGTGTTTATTTGGTAACGATCAAAATGTTCGGAAAATCACGGGTATTTGTAAATATTGGCATTTGTTAAATCAAAGTTACATTTCCCCCAATCCACAAAGATACATTATGCTACTGACCAACAGTAGCATGCCACGTTTATACTCTAGAAAGATCCATCATGTTCTGATTGGCTGAAACTCTTCGGCTTCTTTAGGGCCTACGGAGGCTCCGTTATAGTTTTCGGAAGCCGACTCAACAGATCTATGACAAGACAGCGGCTAAAACGTATTCCAATAATAACTTCAAATATGAGAGTTTAAATCCCTATTGTAATCAGTAAGTACCCAGTTCCATAGAATTACTAGGTCAGTGCTCCAAACTATTGTGTTGTTTTTTGGTCAACACTAGACTTTTACAGTAGTTATCTTTCTAGCATAGTCTACGTTATCGGCCCCACGTAATACCAGATAATATGACTGCCCTTTGTGTCAAACTTACCAAGAGCTGCATACTTGGCCTATCAGTGGTGTCGTTTAAAATGGTGTGTTCATGATTTTCATAGTTCTTGATTCCAACTTGCTTATATAAACTACAACCAAAAATGTGAAAGAATCTAAGATTGAAGGAACCAGGATGGATTTGCGTCTTCATTTACATGGCAGAATGAGTTGATGGATAAAATTCATCATTTTTAATCTCTGATACTTTTATAACCTGTTTCAAAGGGAGCGATTCAGTTTAATGACTAATGGACTAATGAGCTATTGACCATCTACCTCTATCATTTTAGTTCTAGAGGTTATGATATAGAAAACATTTGTGTTGACGCTCAATCTTTTGTAGTATAAACTTTTTCAACATAACCAAACCACGCTTAGAAATATTTTGCTGATCATGCGATGCCATGACTTATTTAGTCGTTTGAATGTAGCTTGCAGCCGCTTTACTTCTTGTACGGTTGGGCATGTAGCTTGTTCATTAATGAGAGTGGTTTTGTTTATAAATTTGAAGGCCTAACTATTATCATTGACTTTCGTTTTTCGGATTGTATGTTTCTATGGTTGCATTCCCCAGTTCCTTTGAAATTTACTGTTTTAAAAATATTGGGAGGAGGTTCATCAGCAGTCAGAGCTGCTAAGTAACGGAAGAATGCCGGAAGGCTGCCCTTCTAATTCAAACCAAGTTTTAATGATTCATAATTAAATTATATAAGATGATGATCGTCCGTGTAACGAGAACTACTAAGACAACAACTAAGAGCAATCAATGTAACGCTGTTTTTAAAAATATAAATATTTTATTTGTCGTACTGAGCTAGATCTTAACTACTGTAAATCTTTCTGTTGGATCAATATGAACACTACAGTTTCACCGGAGACCAAAGCAAATGGCAAAAACAGAATGTTTGCTCACCAAACAACATTTTCGTAACTATATCATATCAAGCTCAAGTCAAAAAGCAAAAATGACCCGAGCTTTCAACTGATAACAATAAAGTGTCCTTAACCAAGCACCTCAACTCTACATAGATATATTCCGAAGCGCACCTTATGGGGCTACATGTGCAAACACGTTGTAATCAAGTTACTGCTGGTGTCGAATCTTAGTAGTTATTTGATTAATCAGCTACATTATCATGAGCAAAAGAAAACCTATCGGTATAGTGGTTGACGGAAAGCTTGAGTTAGTAATTGGTAGTCTGAATGAAGCCAACGAATACGAACTGCGAGAGTGGCGTTGGCTATCACATGGAATAAGCCTTCACACAACTAGGAGTGTACAGGCTGTCTCGTTTGTCACACAACGACACCATTCAACCTCCTTGTCTGATAGCCACGGATTTCAGAAACCTAAAGGACTTAACGAAGTCCCTTTAGGCCTGGTAAAGCTCAGAAATTATTTCTCCAGTCACATCAGAAGTTGCGAAAGCTGACCTAGTTTGATAAGTCAAGAAAAATACCCAAAAAGCACCACGGTGTTGATTTCACTTGACCAACCACTCTGTAGGAAACACAAAGACCACGATTACACTAATGGGACACGCTGTACAGGCAAAAACAGCTACTTTTTGCGTGGAACTGACCGGCACACATTAAACAACAATTTGCTTTAAAGCTAATAGATCAGTGTTGCTGTGGAGGAGCACCAGGTGATCAGACTAACAATCACGTATCTCCAATGGAACATAAAATGACTAATGAGTCAACCAGGAGAAATCACAAGCATGTGTTTTCAGTTCCGTCTGAAGATCATAGTCTTAGTTGAAACATGGCTGTCTCTTAATATCACGGATGAAGAAGTGAGTCTGTAACGTATGACACTTCTTAGATACTATATAGTGTACAAAACAGGAGATGGAGTAGAGATATACATTAAAAGCCAACTCAAACCCGTAACATCACATAGTGCCTAATTAACCGTGATGCGAGAATCGCGTTAATGTTGCTTCACCCATTGAAAGGAATTATCAACTATGGTACAGTCATGTTGAGCATGGTCATAAACGAGAATATAAATGAAGGAAATGCGAAATAC